TAAATGTTAGAGTGAAATGATTTAAATGTTAGTGAAATGAAAATGTTAAAAATGTTAGAGTGAAATGATTTAAATGTTAGAGTGAAATGATTTAAATGTTAAATGTTAGTGAAATGATTTAAATGTTAGAGTGAAATGATTTAAATGTTAGAAAATGTTAGTTAGTGAAATGATTTAAATGTTAGAGAAATGATTTAAATGTTAGAGTGAAATAATTTAAATGTTAGAGTGAAATGATTTAAATGTTAGAGTGAAATGATTTAAATGTTAGAGTGAAATGATTTAAATGTTAGAGAGAAATGTTAGAGTGAAATTATTTAAATGTTAGAGTGAAATGATTTAAATGTTAGAGTGAAATAATTTAAATGTTAGAGTGAAATGAAATGTTAGAGTGAAATGATTTAAATGTTAGAGTGAAACGATTTAAATGTTAGAGTGAAATGATTTAAATGTTAGAGTGAAATGATTTAAATGTTAGAGTGAAATGATTTAAATGTTAGAGTGAAATGATTTAAATGTTAGAGTGAAACGATTTAAATGTTAGAGTGAAATGATTTAAATGTTAGAGTGAAATGATTTAAATGTTAGAGTGAAATGATTTAAATGTTAGAGTGAAATGTTAGAGTGAAATGTTTAAATGTTAGAGTGAAACGATTTAAATGTTAGAGTGAAATGATTTAAATGTTAGAGTGAAATGATTTAAATGTTAGAGTGAAATGATTTAAATGTTAGAGTGAAATAATTTAAATGTTAGAGTGAAATGATTTAAATGTTAGAGTGAAATGTTTAAATGTTAGAGTGAAATGATTTAAATGTTAGAGTGAAATGATTTAAATGTTAGAGTGAAATGTTAGTGAAATGAAATGTTAGAGTTGATTTGTTAAATGTTAGAGTGAAATGATTTAAATGTTAGAGTGAAATGATTTAAATGTTAGAGTTTTAAATGTTAGAGTGAAATGAAATGTTATTTAAATGTTAGAGTGAAATGATTTAAATGTTAGAGTGAAATGTTAGAGAGTGAAATGATTTAAATGTTAGAGTGAAATGTTAGAGTGAAACGATTTAAATGTTAGAGTGAAATGATTTAAATGTTAGAGTGAAATAATTTAAATGTTAGAGTGAAATGTTAGAGTGAAATAATTTAAATGTTAGAGTGAAATGATTTAAATGTTAGAGTGAAATGATTTAAATGTGGTCAGATGAAAAGAAAGGTCTACCATCTAAATCAAACAGGGGCAAGTTTTAATGCACAGACCTACCATTTTGATCATCACTGACTTTGATCACCGTAAATCGCTTATATTTCACGTGGGATTCATGTTCAGATTAACGAGAGTCAATCATGAATTAAAATCCCTTGCGATTTTGTTGTACAACATGAGGCCTCACAGCCTGGATGGTCACCTGACACTTGAGGTAAGCAAAATTCAATATAAAGTTTTTAACATAAGTAGCTTTCAAGTGTCACAAAAAAGAGATTGTGACATTAATGATAGTGACATTTTAGAGATATGTTTTAAGCCCTTAAGGGTCTGCCTGAGTATATATGTATATATGTATTCTATCAAAAATGTCATTCTATACTAACAATTCTTTACATAAGTTATTTTCAATAAAAAATAAATAACTTCATTCTTAAAAAAAACACATTTTCCTATAAAGACCTTGGGGTCTTGAAATTCACAATTTCGGTAAACCACCTTCAGACCTTTCTATAGATGAAGAGTATTTGAGTGTTATAAACAAAATGGTGACCAATATGAAGATATCAGCTACCAATATGGCCAAGTCTATGTCTCTACTACCTCATCACGCGGATATTTACAGTTATTTCTAGATCAGCATTCAGGAAACCATGAATTCGCAAATTTTTTGACGAGGTACGTTCACGATATAAAGTATTTACGAAAAATAATTCACCGTATTCTATTCACATATTCATCGTTCACACCTGACCCCATATATGGCCACGGAAAAAAATCACCAGCAACTGAGTACTTCCTATAGAACATATACAACTTAGTGAGTCTGCTTCAAGAAAAAAAATTTTGGGAACGACAACAGTTACATGTATACAACATGCTAGTTAAAATCCTAATATTCTGAGAGTAACATATACCAGGCAGTTTAATCTAGACACTGTGATAAGTATTTTGAGGAGCCAGTCTACCACTTTAACCTTGGTAACCAAGATGTATCACAACTGACCTGCGTTCCTGTTGACTGTCAAATCTATTTGCCTCAGTCTATTTCTTATCAAAAATTTGAATCCCCAACTAATATTGCACATGAATTAATGTTATATATAGGCCATGAAAAGGTTCATTTCAGGCCAGGAATACAAGGTTTGTTACATAGAATGTCTCGGACCTCAACTTCATTTTAAAATAACTAGCATGGAACAATCAAGCTTAAAAAGGAGATGTTTGGGCCAGATTCAGCTGAGGACAGGATAAAAGTCATCCTCTCACCTGTTGTTATAAATGATGCAGAAATAATCTTTGTTGTAAACATAACAATCAACAGAATTCAAAATCATAACATTATCAACAATAACATAAAATTCAGATTCTCTTTTATCCTCTTATCATGTTGTGTTAAATGTTTAGCTTTCCGTGATCCCTCACATCTGTCTATCCTCTATAAGTCTGGTCAATCAACGCCAGCAACAGAGTTTTATCAAAAGTAATAACTATACTACTACAACTGTTTTCAATACTGTTTTATTTTTATAAACCATTTCACATTCAATGAGGATGATTCATGGAAAAAAATAATAATTTAAAAATGTATGTGCTCCTAAATTGATATCATAAACAGAGCACAAATATAAATATTACAGATCAACAGATTACATCAACATACACACACAAACACATGTGGATCACAAAGCATACTGCATCAAATTCATTATAACTGATTGCGATATTTTAGTTTCAACAATATCACTTTCAAATCGCATTTCAACTAATTTTTTTATTTTAGTTTAATGTTCCGATCCAAAACTTTCTCGTGAATTTAAGCAACAGAATCGATCAAAAATACAAAAATAAATAAAAAAAAACATGTTTTTATTTTTATAACTCCGAAATTTTTATTACACTTTTGAAATGGGAAAAAATCGTCTATATCTGCTTTCATGGTGTTGGCCATTAAAACTTAACACAATTTACCCATATTGAATAAATGTAGTCTTCATTACATCAATGAAACCTGAAACTATTCAGTTGATTGATAAATGCTGGATACATATTAAGGCATCCTTCATTTGATGAAGTTATAAGGAAGAATTTTATATATACTTGGTACAAACCAGAACTTTTTAGTTCACATTTTTAGTACATGTTTTATACATTATAAAATCTTTTAATGCTATTTATATGCATGCATGACGGTTATGAATAAATAATTAACACATGAGCGAAATTTCTGAAAATGTTACTTAAGAAGAACAATTATATTGTAACACTATGAACAGATCTTCTCTTACAAATATCATCATTTAAAATGGAACAAATATGTGCACACTTAGTCACATTATCATATTGTTGATTCACATTTTGTCAAAAAACTCCCCAATTATCTAGTACAACTACTTTTCAATACTGTATAAACATTAATTTTTGTGGGGAATTTATTTTCATTGAATTAATGGATACATTTTATACATGAATTCATATGTCCATGAACTGAAAGTTTAAAGACATTTAGTGAGCAATACTTATCCACAAAATTAAATGTTTTGAAACAGTGAATTTTTGGAAAACCATGAAAATTGAACCCCACCAAAATATGATTTTACTGTATGACGTAGAAGAACCGTGAAAAATAACTTACACATACATATACACTCATATCTTTATATAAAAATATCTTTATATGAAAAAGTGCATTATTCACTTTTTTTTAACTGGGTCAAGGTCAAATTAAAAAAAAAATTATACCTGAATTTACATTTCCCCACCCCTCTCTTACATCATGTTAACTTAAATATGGATCTAGATCAAGGTCTCTGAAACAAACTGGCAGTCCTTTAAACTTTTGTGTTACTGACCAATGTTCTAGACCTTTTGATTTATTAGAAAGAAAAAAAATGTAAATATTATAGCATATTTTGCCCTTGAGACATTGGAATTGGTTCAAGGTCATTTTTTTTTCAAACCTCAAGGCACCTTATCCCAGGTTATTACTGGACAAATATCATCAAAATCCTTGTTTTTCATAACAAAATTTTTACTGTTGGAACATTAAAAACAAACCTAATCACCATTTATAATAGGACAAGTACAATTAGTTAATTATAAAATTGAACCCATGGGAATGTCAGGTTGAGTAAAGAAGTCACTAAACCTTCACTCCACCATTTTGAGCAGAGAGGTCACAGAGGTCAGAAAGGTCATAGCAGTTTCATTCATGGACTGAATAGGAAAGCTGAATAAAGAAAATACATTGATAATTTATCAGACACTTTCAATAGTTAACGAATGATGGAAACTTCATCAAATACAATGTTCTATTAGATGTCTACAGTGGTATATCACCAATACTTATTTAGGGCAGAAAGGTCACAGAGGTCAGAGGTCATAGCAGCTTCATTGGTGCCATGCCACAGACAATTGCTGAAACAGCAGGATTGATATAATAGAAAAGAGGGTACAGATCTTGAATGCAATGGGTGTGTAAAAAGTTAAGGTGAATCAAGTGTGAAAAACTAAGCATATATTCAGTTATGGAAATTTAACAAAAACATATTCCAGGAACCAACAGTGTCCCCAAAAATTAAAGTACCTCAATTTCTATTCTCAAGCAGGAAGTAGACCAAGATGTTCTCAAAAGTGGCCTGGTTTGATATTTTTTTAAAAGATAATCAAACAGAAGAAATATTATACACAAACTGCCACACAATACATTGATGTTTTTAACATAGTGGAATTAGTCTTCAGAAGTCAGTCCTCCTCCACTAATGGAGCTGCCTGTTAGATGATCGAATTGTTTCTCTGTCATGTCTGTTGTACAACTTTACTCTCTGATTGATCTTTCACTAGAGACTCCACCAAGAGGTTACATGCCTTTTTGTGTTTGGCCCAGTGACTCACTTGACACTCCCTGTAAAGATATACATGTATCACAGATAAGTCTCCTACAGAGTAGTCTCCCTTCCACTACATGTTTATACTTAAATATATTCTGATTTGATAGATAACTTACAGGTTTGATCGGTCTAATAACAGGTATATAAAAGAAGTTGCCATTTTACTAAATAACAAGAGGTCCATTGGTCCTGTATCATTTACCTGGCTTTGTTTGCTTGAAATTGCTTTATCCAAACTACAGGAAAAATTTCTAAATTTCCAGGCACATTAAACATATTATAGGGTATTTATTTCCCCACTACTCTGTCCTTAAGGAGTCAGTCAAACCATTCATGGTTCAGACCAGAAAGGGACAGAATCCTGCCATCCTTACTATTTCCCCTATTGCACCCTGCCATTCCCATCCCAGGGGGCTAGCACCCATAGTTAATACAATATTGATTTCCCTCCCCTAATGATGCTTCAGACCAAACATGGACAAAATTCATGACCAGTAGCGATTTATAGAAAATAGTTGATGAAGGTATGAACAATGAACACCTTATTTTGGCATAATTCCAACAGTTCTGACCAGGTGAGCTAAAAATCAAGAAACAAATATACCACATAATTATTGTTCAAAATAGTTACCTTCTGCAGTACCACTCATTCTGACATCGTGAGCACCGCTTGCTGGCTTCGTTACCACATACTGCACACTTTGGAGGCTCCGACAATAAGTTCTCCATCATATCAAAGTTATATGTATCTGCCCACCTATAGATTACATACACAACAAGGTCAACATCACTATGTACTGTTTTATGTTATTTTAGCATTAATGATAGACAACTTTATACAGATTAATACATCAATACATCATATGATGAATACACATATTAATGTCACATCTGTATAGAAAGCAAACTTTCTTCAGTACAGTTACAAGGAAGTTTGAATTTATTTAACTTTAGACCTGCTACCTCACTGTGAAATTCATCTCTGACTTTTATTTACTATTGAAGATTACAACTTCACTCTGCTAACATCAGTGACAATATACAATACTACTAACTGTGCTTCATTATTTTTCAAATATTTTATCAAAGTATAGAAAATATGTATTTTAATGTCAACAAAATCCAAATCTTGCAAATTTACTGATTTTTTTAAACGAAACAGAGCAATATTATTAATCCATCTATCTTTTTCTCCATCTGAAGAGAGGCTATACTATGCAGGGATTATGAAGATTACATTCTGTGTAAACTTCTATAAAGATAACCTTTTCATACCTTTTAGCTTGAGCTCTCATGTCTGATTGGGACGGATTAAAATGAGTCTTTGACTGCTTCTTGGCAATTTGTTTCCATTTCTTGTCATTGTCAGATAGGATTTTTTCTCTAATTTCTGGCACCTTTGGGGAGAAAAATTTTAATTCTTTAGTAACAAGATATAAATTGAAGTATCAGCTTTCGGAATATCCTTTCTCTAGTACACAGCTTGACCTAGATGTAATTAACATTTCAATGTCAACAGCGGCCAAAATCAAAAACTATAATGCATATGTAGGATCCAAAAAAAAGCAATGTAACCATGGTAGATTCTAGCTGCAATATAACACTTAACAAGAACAACTCTTTAGATTGGTTGAGTGACATATTTGTACACCAGACGTCACAGGTTTGATTCCAAACTCAGGTGTTGAAAAAGTTATAATGACCTATGTTATACCATTATACAACTTTGTTAGGAGATATAACTATTACAATGTAAGATCTTGTTTGAGATAAGTAATTTGGTCTATGTTTGTTATAACTTACCTGTTCTAAGATGAGATCTTTTTTAGCTGCAGGTGGGTCCATCATTGACAGGTGTTCTAAGTATCTCTGCATTTCAGATAGGACAGGTAACTGATCCAGCATCACCTCTGTCAGGTAAGATCTCAGCTGTAGGTCAAAGGTTAAAGGCTATATCAGTGTCAAGCTTCATAGCATATCAATCCTAGTGTATTTTATCCAATTTTTTGAAAGATATCAAACATTTTCATGACTGATTCATTTCAACAACGGTTTTCTTTCATTCAATACATAGATGTATTTTGTGCCCATTTAAATTGGAGACTGAATATCGGGGATATTTTGTTATACAACAGCTTACAAAAATTATGTGATCAAATGGTGTTGGCAGTCAAGAAACATTGATCTATTGCAAATTCAATTCAGTCAGATGGTATTGACATCATACTGAGAGCAACATCACACATTGTGCACTATGTCAGCAGTGTTCCGAGATATAACATACCTTCAATATAATATTTTTCCTGAAGGAATTTAATTCATACTTCTGTTGACATGTCTGGTTCATGAGTAGCTGGAATAGGGCCAACCATACCTGTGAAAATTGGAATGTCTGAATGAGTTAACCACACCAGTAATATTGGACATCTCTCTAAATGTATACAATGAATGTGTCGTGAGAGATCCCTGACAGTCTTCATGAACACCAATGGAGGATTCTTATGGATGGTAAAATGTATTTTCTTCCTTTTTCCAATTACTGAATGATCACGAAATATATACAAAATTAAACAAATATGCAACATAATCATAATATTTAGAAAGTCCATATTTTGTAAAATATTTTGCCAAAAATAGTAATGATTCTAAAATTGAGAGAATGACTCTGTACCATTTAAAATCCAAGGGAGGTAACTCTGTACCATTTAAAATCCAAGGGAGATAACTTCCTAAGTGAAACATTTACACACTCCTATATTGATTTAAGTTTGAAATCAACTAAATTGAATTTAAAAAAAATATAAGTTCCCCCTACCACTATATCTGTATATGGCCAGCAACAAAGGAAAACTCCAGGTTCAGTTACAGAATTATTGTAATAAGTAGAAGAACAAACTCTTGCTTAAAACTCTACTGGGACCACATCTTATGAGGATATAGAACCCATGCCTACAAAAATGTCATGGAGTCAAATATCACCGTACTAAGCTGGATATCTGTAGTGGTCAAGGGATGACCTACCTGTCCTTCTGTTTTGGTCAATTTGAAGCTGTCTTCTCGGCTGACCTCCTGCCACTTGTTGTCCATGAATTTCTGCAGCTTCCCTGTCAATCCATTTTAGTATTATTAATAACACAGGATTACATTATTGATTAAATATTCTATATCATCAATCACTAGGTATTCCCTGATAATCCAACAAAATTATATACATTTTTTAATCAATATGAAAAAATAAAATCAATTAACCAATTACATCAAATACACAAACCGGATCGACTGTCCTCATAGAATCAATCCCTGTAACTGATACTAGTATGTACAGTGTAACTACATTGAGAGAGTAATATTGAAATAATCTTTCCTTCCTATTGTAAAAATGAATGAGCTTCAAACGCAAGAAATACATGACACTGAGATAAACAGATGTTTGTAAGGAGAAGTGAATAGTCCTGATACTGAGATAAACAGATGTTTGTAAGGAGAAGTGAATTGTCCTGATACTGAGATAAACAGATGTTTGTAAGGAGAAGTGAATTGTCCTGAAACTGAGATAAACAGATGTTTGTAAGGAGAAGTGAATTGTCCTGATACAGAGATAAACAGATGTTTATTAGGAGAAGTGAATTGTCATGATACTGATATAAACAGATGTTTGTAAGGAGAAGTGTCCTGATAAATAGATATACAGATGTTTGTAAGGAGAAGTGTCCTGATACAGAGATAAACAGATGTTTGTAAGGAGAAGTGAATTGTCCTGACACTGAGATAAACAGATGTTTGTAAGGAGAAGTGTCCTGATAAATAGATATACAGATGTTTGTAAGGAGAAGTGTCCTGATACAGAGATAAACAGATGTTTGTAAGGAGAAGTGAATTGTCCTGACACTGAGATAAACAGATGTTTGTAAGGAGAAGTGTCCTGATAAATAGATATACAGATGTTTGTAAGGAGAAGTGTCCTGATACAGAGATAAACAGATGTTTGTAAGGAGAAGTGAATTGTCCCGATACTGAGATAAACAGATGTTTGTAAGGAGAAGTGAATTGTCCTGATACAGAGATAAACAGATGTTTGTAAGGAGAAGTGAATTGTCCTGATACTGAGATAAACAGATGTTTGTAAGGAGAAGTGAATTGTCCCGATACTGAGATAAATAGATGTTTGTAAGGAGAAGTGAATTGTCCCGATACTGAGATAAATAGATGTTTGTGAGGAGAAGAGAATTGTCCTGATACTGAGATAAACAGATGTTTGTAAGGAGAAGTGAATTGTCCTGATACAGAGATAAACAGATGTTTGTAAGGAGAAGTGAATTGTCCTGATACTGAGATAAACAGATGTTTGTAAGGAGAAGTGAATTGTCCTGATACTGAGATAAACAGATGTTTGTAAGGAGAAGTGAATTGTCCTGAGTAGATAACTTACCCCCTTTCCTTTTACTCCACGGTGGATTCTCAACAAGTTGTACCAACAGAATAGGGATATCATGTGTGTTAAGTACTCGACTGAGAACACTCAAAGGCAGGCTAAAACATCAATCATAATATGGTTATATTAAACTCAAAACTTGAAAATTTAGCAAAACCCGACCTTAAACATTCAGAAAATGTCTTATCAAACCAAAACAATATATTCTGTAATTATCTACATATAGCATACACCAGAAATTAGTCCAAACTTTGAAACATAACATGTACATACCATTCTATGTGATCTACAATGTAACGTAGGAGAGACAGAACTTTAATACAAATCTCAAAGTTCAGCTTCCTATCTTGTTCTTGTAGTTCCTACAACAAAAATTAAATATTCATATATTACATGTATGTATAATATTCATTTTAGGTACAGAGATGATATATCAAAAGGTGTGAAATTCATTATCAATGACGAAAATCGCATGTATGATGTCAAACACCAAACTCACGTCAAGAATAAACAGAAAGATTATATAATTAAGAAATGTGTATTAATTAAAATTAATAGACACAGAAACATCAATTGTTCAGTCTAAATAATTATGTCTGAATACTGTACTGAAATCTAAGGAAATGGTGAATATCCATATTTTGAATGCAAACTGAGGTTATGTGATATCAAAGTGTTACTTCCGCGATAGTGTACCGTGTACCATAAAAGACACATTTCCAAACATTCAAAATCGCTTTAAAGTGAAAACTACCTTCATATATATTTAGTGCTTACATAATGATGCATGAAAGTAAAAAAAAAAGTGTTTCTTTTTTTTTTTTTATTTCAACTCATTTTTTAAGGGCAGTGACAACCGCACAGTTTAAGTGAATGCATGTACACAACATAAGAGAGAAAAGAGTCAATACAGGTTGTTATCTGTGAAGTGGATTCTCGGTTCCACAACCCTTTGTATAGATATGTGAATGTATGTCGAGTCTATAACATAAGGTACAATGTATGAATAGTGCAGTTTGTCCTCCAAAGTAGAATTTTTTCTTACCTCCATATTTGTTTTGTTTTCACTGTCTGCAGTTATCTCATTATCCTCTTCATCAGAATCATCATTCTCTCGTTCCTGCATTCTGATATAAACAGTTGATGATAAGTTATGTTGATCAACACAATGTATTACCAAAGCTCAGTCTAATATTATTTCTTTTCTCAATATATTTCTGGCCTCATAAATCCCACAACATGTCGGAATATATTTCTTATTACAGAACACTTAAATAAGCCATCCAAGCCAATATGTAGAAATTGATTAACCCACACTTATACACATATCTTGGTACAATGTATTATATTGTTTTCCTAATTTTGCAGTCTGAACATTATGAAATTATAATTAATTATATATATGTACATATACCTCAATTATACAAAAAAAAAAATTGATTTTTTTTCACCAAGAAATTATTTGTGTTGGTATTTCTGAATTACATACATTCAGTACAGTCAATAAAAGCTCTATATCATAATCAAGTGAAATAACGTAAACCGGTAAACCTGGAGGAGAGGGTTATGTTACCTCGCTACAAGTTGTGTTAGTTTCCTGTAACAGTAATCCACAAGGTCTGTAATCTGATCCTCTGCATTCTCACAACTCTCACGGAAAAACATGGTCGTCTCTAGTAGTGTGGCTACTGTTGCCTCATGGTAGAGCTAAACAATACACAAACTGATGTAGTACATCACTATCTAGAATGGTGATTGTTGTATCATGGTAGAGCTAAACAATACACAAACTGATGTAGTACATCACTATCCAGGATGTCTACTGTTGTATCATGGTAGAGCTACACAATACACCAATTCATTGTTAATTCTAGACTAACTCAGAGTAAATATTAGGCCTCATTCAGCACTTTTTACACTTAATTCTTCATCTTTTTTAAAAGCTATTCATTATAAAATCTACATCTATTCAATAAAAGTGTTCCACATATGCTAGTTGACATTCACTCAGTATAAACTTAAAACATAATTCAGTATATATATATTCTATATTAATTCAGCACTAATTTTTCACCTACAGGTATTTAATATCACTTTAAAAATTGACACTCACCACCATGTAAATTGGGAATGTTGTTTTAGGTTCAAAGTCCATGTCAATCAATGCTGGGAAGATTTTCTCTTTCCACACCTCTGTCACCAGTAGGTCATAGATCAGCACCTCAAACTGTATTGATAGGAAAGATCTTTGTGAAAATGCTTAATATCAAAATTTTTAATGACCTGATCAGATGTCTTATTACTAAGGTTAAACGGTTATAATTTGTTTTGTTGAGAAGCAGACATTAAATAAGATCAAAAATAATGTTATATCATTTTTTTCAAAAAATAAAGAGGGTAGTTATGCCGCTTGAGCATACGTCATAATTGAATAATTGAAGAAATTCCCTCATTTTATGTACTTTAGGTGCCCAAAATTACTATTGTGTTGTCCTGAAGAAGCCCGAAAAAGGTGCAAAACCGGTCGACAATAAATTGATGAAACAAGCCTCTTCGCCTGTTGTGATTGACTACTACGCCCTTTTTTCAAAAAAGATGTATAATTCATTTATCTAGAGTTACAGTTCAAGTAAAAATGTAAGTGTGTATAATTGTGTATTAATGTATTGAAAACAAGGCAAATGGTATATATGAATATCTATGCATAGCTGCTTGTTACCAACACATCTAGTTAAACTGCCAGCTGATACCTTAGTCAAGAAATGCATAGATCGAATTGGCTGTTTATTATGACGACATGTGATTAAAGCTTTACCATTAAGCATCAGTTCAACAATATGATACATACCATTGTTCTATAAATCAAGGTAAAAATCAAATCTGATTAATGTAGGTGAGGGTGTAACATAAAATATAATACAACCAACAGGGCTGACAAGTTACAGCAAAGTCCTGATAACTAAAATAACCTGGAGGAGATAGGGGATGGTGGAGGATTTGTGATTAAAAAAGCTGTTACCCTGGACTTTGCTGTAAACCTCAAAGTGGCATCTTAAACTGTAGTCACATGACCTGTGTTTTGAATGTAGTAACAAATTTGACCCTTCTGCCCCTGATTATGAGTAAAGGTAAATTCTTTTCACAATCTTTGTTGGGGGTCATCCCAGCAAACCACCAGCCAAATACCATGACATTTGGTTTGTTTGTTATTGAGAAGGGACGTTGCAACACAGGTGCAAACGGAGAGGGTAGGTGTGGCTTGTATATAGTGTTAAATATAGTCATTGTACTCAGCTCAGAGAGCATGGCTCTTTTGCTCAGTTGGAAAAGTAGATCTGTGAATTATCACTTAAGAGACTCAATTATTTAAGTTCAATTCTTGTGTAGGTGCTTGGCAGGAGATAAGCAAATTGTGATGACATTCCATTTTCAAAAGTTTACAAAATATTGATAGGATGAAAAGTGTATAGGATTATACTAACCTTGCCGCATGAGATGAAGAAATCTTTCACAAATTCATCTTCCTGGGCAGAGGCATTAATGACAGCTTGCATGTTCAATTTCTCCAGCATCTCATGTTGTCTGGACCAACTGTAATATAATTCACAACTTAAGGTAGATTTCTTTTCTCAAACAACAGTACAGAATGTACTTCAGAGAGCCAGAGAAAAGCAATTAGTAGTCTAAATTCTGATGGGTACACCCCTATTTTGAAATGAAAACCTTGAACTCTTCTTGTTTGTTTAATTTAACTTTTATAACCATTGTATTTCCTGCCTGTACCGGACACATATATATAAATATATATAATCTAGTACGTAATATCGTCAGTATGGTCCAATATTGGTACTGGATCTTAACAAACAAATGCTCGTTGGATATGTATCACTGGGATAGATATATGATCAATGAAGTAATAATATATATATATTGTACTGTGTTCAGCCCCTGCTTGTATGTTATAGATGTAGAATATTGAGACAGAGAATTTATCTCAGAAGTTATCAAATTGATTGTGATTTCATTTATTGTATATATGTATCATGCACAGAGCATCGTGTACGTTAATACTTGAACATTAATTTACCTATTAAACCTGTAAGAACAGTAAACGTACAGTTAAGCAGTAAAGTATATGTTTCTGTCTGTTCATATTTTGCACCGATTTCCCATAAACCCGACATTTTGGAACTAATTGTGTAGTTATGTGGTCTATATCAGTTGTACTGATTATAGTGTTGGGAAAATCGACGGATCCGTTAATATTACAACTGGAATGTATTACGGAATCTTCTGGAACATCATGTTTGTGCTTTACAGACTAAATTTCTTGAATCAATATTCAATTGAAAACTGTAAGTGATATCGGCTTTTATCATTATTATTATTATTATTATTGAGCGCGTACAACAAATGGAAACCAGAAACATCGCCATGACATGGTTGTTTACCATAGAAACCGATATCCGAAAACTTACTCTGAACTTCCGACATCTCTAAGCTTGTATTTCACCAAGTGTTCCACATAAGCTTCAGCTTCGACGGACATCAAAACTTGGCCTGTATCTGTAGTCATTTTCTTTTCGAATCTTCTTGAATATTAATCAATATTCGTGATGATTTTTTATCTTGCTCAGTAAACTCGCACAAGCACATGCACGCTTGGTCAACATGTAAACTTCCGGTGGTACGGAGCAAAACGTCAATATATCTAATAAAACACATAAAAAGTTATTTCAATTAATCCTTTAGTTTGGATCAGAAATATAATCTTCAGTGGAAATGTTATGGTCTGTGATTTTTGAACTGCAATTTTTTTTATTGATAATGCGATCCTCGTCACAGTCAAAATAAATAATTGGCGGGAATTTAAATTTCACTAAAGCGATTCGAGGCGGAGTAAAGACAGAAACTATACGCCATTTTCTCCTTTTATCATTTTTCGTCAATTTTTGTTTATTTTCTATTGTTTCCATTAAGTCATTTCTTTTTGTTTGCATTTTTTACATTAGCTTTATTTGGTCAAAGATCGCGTGGCAGGCATAAGGGTACTGTACCAGTTCTCAGACCATCTACCACACGATTTAGCAATCATGAAAACAAAATAATAATAAAACAAAAAATAAATCAATACTCTGAACTTTTAAGACTGACATCAACATCATGAAAACGTTCTGTGTAACATTTGTGTCAAATCGGCAACTTTAGGTGATATTGAGGCCTATCAGTGGCGTAGCAAAACATTTTAAAGAATGTATGCTTTCAAGAGAGGATCCAAGGGCGAAGCCCCGGTTAAGGGGGTCTAGGGGCGCAGTAAGGTTAAAAAAGTAGGGCAAATATATCTCAATGGAATTCGAGTGTATGTTTAAGCATACAAGCATACATTATTGCTACGCCTCTGCCTATGTAGAAGTCAACATGATCAAACACTTTTATACTAGTTTAGTACCAAACTTATATTCTCTATTAATGGCGGGACTATCTTAATGCTTATGAATTTATATCCCATACCATTGGTATCATGTTTGGCAATCAATGCTATGACCTATAAGTTAGTGTCTCCTTTTTCTTTACGTGACATAAAGCATGTAGATTCAAAATATATACAATATGTCAACCAAATGGAAAATGTTTATTGTAAATGTGGATCTACAAAAACAAATATCCTTATAAGGTATAACTTAACCATGTTATAGATATTCCATTAGGCATCGAAACTTATTTATTCTCAGACAATATATTTCACAGTGAAGACAACATCACCTCATATCTGTTCTAGATTAGCCACATTTTAATCTTTATTCAGTGATATGCATGTACGTCTGGTATGGCTCCACTAAGATATGCTTTAATTCTTTACCTATTTCTAGATAGTCGAAACAACTCATTACGCATGAAATTTAATGAGGTGACCAGTCACGTGATACACATGTTCTCAAAGCAGAATACTTTGACTGACCATGTCTAACATGTGTACTGCAATCGCGAAACAGAACTTATCTAACTTATACTAATCATGCTTGTTGACCTGAATGTAAGGGTGTGAGCAGTCTTAATATAAAAGGATAACAGATTACTGGGGGAAAACCCACATTCGGTCATGTGACTCCTTACCTTCTCACTTTCGAGGAATCAAACCCAGGACGTCTTGGTGAAAGGCGAGTGCATTACCATTGTGCCATATGACCACCCCCAGTTGTAAACAGTAGTGCAGAAGGCAGACTCTTCAAATGTGAGCCCGTAACAATATGTTATGCTCAAAAATGCAATTTTCTATAAAAATTATAGTAAAGTTAACCTCCTCTCCAGGAAGAAATGTGAGAGCCATTTTGGTAATTAAAGCACCTAAGCACATTTGATTTGACCATACCTGGGTGTTGAGAAGAAGATTTTTGAAATTTAAGACAATTTGACCCCGTTTAGCCCTGCCTAACAGCCCCTGGGGGTTAGTCAGGATCAATCTATCCATACTATCTAGCTGTGTCATCCTTTGCTTATAATTCTAAGCAAGTTTGAAATATTTTTAATGATAATTAAACAAAGCATACCCAAAAAGCTAATTTTCCTATATAAGCTACAGCAAACTTTACCTCCTCCCCACGGAAAAATGTGAGACCCTGGGGCCATGAAATTCACAATTTTTATAAACCACCTTAAAACGCTTCCATTCTACCATGGACTGTAGAAGCTATCACATCTGGGTATTGAGAAAGTTTTTTAAATATGAATAAATTTGACCCTTTTGGCCCTACTCCTCAGGGCCTATGGGTGGGGGGGGGGACCATATTATTTTGTTTTTTTTATATTAGGCCAGGAAAGGTTTCAGAAAAAATTCAGCAAAATTGGTTCAGGAATTTTTTAGAAGTAAAAAATTTGAAATTATTTACAGACGCAATACGCACAATGAAGGTAAAAACTGAAAAATAGATTTTATAAAAGGGAAATGAAAAATGCATGTGTTTGAACAAGGCTTGACTCCTAATGTTTGTCAGATAGTATATGGCCAATTGCTGAGTTATATGGAGAGGGATGGCTTGGGTGGGTGATGGGTCAAACTACAGTTGAATGCAATACCTGTTTGAAAAATGTGTGGTGTTTTGCAACTGTATAGCATAGAATTAATTATGTAATATATGAATTAGTATATATCCATAGCATTGTTATAGCAGTAGTGACATAATACCAAAATAAATTATATATTATCAGTAAATATGATCACCTGGCTAGGCCCCAAATAGTTAACGTGCCTTACAAGGGATGGTCAAACAAGTGCGACTGTGATCATTTTCAAAGAGCATTTCTTTCAAACAAAGCCCTTCATAATAAAGACTTAAAACGATCAGCGTGACAAGTTCATAGGTTTTGGAACATTGAAAATCTATTCAGGGACAAATATGAATCTCCTGTGGACTAAGTAAAGATCTTTGATGTTTAGAGGTGTGATAACTCTCCTATGGACTAACTAATGAACTTTGAACTTTAGGGCTGTGATAACTCATCTATGGACTAACTAATGAACTTTGAACTTTAGGGGTGTGATAACTCATCTATGGACTAACTAATGAACTTTGAACTTAAGAGGTGTGATAACTCTCCTATGAACTAAGTAAGATAGCTTATCTTTAGGGATATTTAGTATATTTTTGGCGTATTTTCATATAGATTATCAACGTTTGAAAATATAAAATTACACAAAACACTTAAGAAATGAATGTATTGATAATGATATAAGAACTGTTTACATGGTTATTTTGTTTACTAACAACTACAGAACTTATGTGACTTGTGAAAAATGCCAAAAACCGTTTGTCATATTTCAGTATATTTACGTATGCTCTGATCCTATGGTGCATCTAGTGCTATATGTAGTTTGTACATTCATCACTTGCTTGTTGTATAGGTAAGTGTTGTGATGTCATATTTCTCATTTTTTAAACAGAAGGTACGTCTTTATTCTCTTGTTATGAGAGGTTTCTTTTTCAAAGAAAGGTGAATGTTGATACAAATATATGTTATAAACTATACTGAAGGGTATTTTGAAAAAAAGATTTTAAAAAAATATATATATACATCAAAATAAAAGATTACTCGAAGGAAAGAGCTGTAGAAATACCTTGTACCATTTGACGACAAGATATTCCACAAGACTAGTGGAATAACCATGGGATCAAACTGTCTGATTTGTTTTTGGTTTCATATCAGGCTGAATTTGTCAAAACTGATCACAAAGATCTTATGAAGACCTCCAATTAAACTTTCAGATACCTGATAATGTCTTGTCATTAAATATCAAGAGATTTGTTGGTTAAGCACATAATACACACATTAGCCGCTTACTATCTCGATTTTTTCCAACACAGAAATCAACAGGTACAGCTTTCTACCAAGCCTTATGATAAGCATGAAGATTTCAATTTCCATGTTGTAAATTTTCCATTTCTGGATTGCAGTATTCCTGCATCCCCAACCTATAATATTTACGTCACATTGTTTGTTCTCAATATCACAACTTTTGTGCAAGATATCAGGAACTGAGAAGACAAATTCACACTACAGGGTACTAAACATGCAGGTTGGCGAAAATGAAAATTAAGTTTTAATGTTGTCCATGAGGTGCAATGTAAATCTTTCTTTTATTCAAATTGTCCTTTATTTTTATTGAATTTGAGTTTGGATTGTGATTCTATTGATATTTTGTTTGTTGTTTTTTAATCCTATGTGACCACCTGTTTATTACCAACACACTTGGAGTGTAAAACTTTTATACACATTGTGTTAGTTTTCAGGTGAAAGTCTCTTCACAGTGACAGCTGGCTCATCAGCATGTTTGCATTTGTCTGCACATGGGCTGAAGTCCATGTTTTCCCATGGATCTTGTGTTCATGATCTGTGAAGCAGGACAGTGAATGTTGTCAACGTTTTGTAAATGTTTGTATGTCAATATATTGTCTTATGTATTTACACTGCACAAAAAGATCACTACAGCCAAGTTCCATAGCATGTTTACAATGTATATGCACGTAGATGGGGATTGTTTACGTGATTACAACAGTGCAGTGTCTGGTCAATTGTATTGACAACAAGTCGTAGTTCTATAGAATTGATATGATCAGTTTGGAAGCTGATCAGCTCTCGATAGAATTGATTGATTACTGGGGACTGTTTACAAATACACACAAAAGATACCGCTGTATGAAATATTAAATCACAATATTGATACCCCAACGTATGTTAATCTATGTACGATCAGCATATTGGTATATCTAATTGTATTGAACCTTAACCATCATATCACGGAGATCTCGCGTTTTATGTACATGTATAACAGCCTTGTCTGTTAATTTTTTTACTCAGTGTATGTAATTATACACCTGTAGAAACATTTATGTATTTAACTCTAATTACTTACTATACCATATATATTCTCTATTTATCTTCTCATATCTCTTTCCTTTACTAATCCCTGTTGTCAGTCTTGCTTGAATTTTTTTTTACTTTCATAATCTCTTCATTGACGGTGCCATGATTTTAAGAGCATGAAGCTGTCTTTGGTAACTTTGGTACATGTATCTATAGATAATGTAATTTTATTCTCTGATATGGGATGTTGTACAACAAACCTGGATATACTTATAAGTCGATGTGTTATTGTTGGTCTGTTTTATGGTAGAACACACTCAATAGGCAAACGGTTAAGTTTACTGACATTCTGTTCAAAATACCAGGGTAGGCACATGTTTGCAGGCTTAAATCAAGAAATGTAACATTGTTATCGTTCCAGTGTTGAAATTTCTATTATCTTGCAAAAGTAATCAAATTTCCTGTCCTACTTTGTACTTTAGGATAAATGGATTTACTTCATAGGCACATTACACCAGTACTAACACTTAAATGACCTGTTGAGTGTTTTTCTCTGGTCTTGGTTCCAAAATTTTCAAATTTTCAAATTTTCTGTGATTCTCCTGTTGTCTTTAGTGATGTATGTATATGGATGTTTTCTAGATATTGTTAATTAAGTTACATACATAGTCTATCAAATGTTACAATGGAAACTGTGTGTAATGGTCAAATCAGATCTAGTATACTTGATCCATTATAGTTAATTGGCTCCCTATTGATTCTTCTGTCATAAACGTAAGAAGAACAAACAGTGATCATGAAGGTTGGATTATTAGAGTAAAATTACCATTCGCTTTTACTCCGTGTACAAATGTAAGGTTTTGTTATATAAAAGAACCAATTTCGATATGTTGAATGATTTTATATTCCAATAAGACTGGAGAGACGGACACCTGATTTCATAAATATATATAGACACTTGATCTTGATTTCACGGAGGGATATAGCTAAGTATAATACATCTAATAAAGCATTGCTCATGGGAAGAAACTCTACATATAGTAAAAGGTGTGTTTTGTTGATATCAGTCAGAGCGTTATAGAACATGTAGTATAATTCTGCTAATCAATGTGTAAAATTTCAGGAATGTGTGGAGATATCATAATTTATCACAAATCATAACAACAGGTAATTAACAGTTTTATTAACTTCAAAACAATAAATTTGTGGAAATCCATATAAAATCGATATATTACAAAAACACGTTTTTAATTTCTGGGAGTACGTGAAGTGCCTTTCCAGCCAAAGTTCACTATGCCAGTAAATAAAAACGTGTTACAATTCATTCCCTATGTGGGTATGATTCATTGATGTTTTAACATTTGAATAACACCCCTAATACAGTATAAAATCATCAGTCACATAATCCGCCTGTTATCCAGTGAAATCAACTCTGTAAAATTTTTGTATCTTTCACCAGTTCAATATACCCCAGAGAAGTTTTTCATTGGCTGTGCCAGTCAGAACTTGATTGTGATGTCATATATGGAAAATGACCATAAGTTTTGAATTAAAAGTGATTAAAATGGCTACTTTCATTTAAATTTTGTCATCCACATTACATGTCATTACACCTGTCAAAATGTGATTTATGTGATGAATATAATGATAAGCCTTTTTTCATTTTATATGAGATTTTCTGAAACTTGTTTCGAAGTTTCAAATTTTGTTTGTCAAAGCTGCCAAACTTTTATGTTTCATCCCATAAAAATCTCATGTAAAATGAAAAATGTATCTAGAATCTTAGAAGTCTTCTTGGAATTTCAACAAATATATTTACAATTAAAGATGCTTGAAGAAAGGAGCAAAACCTTGGTGCTGAGATAAGCTTGACATATTTATAGAAATTAGCACTCAGCATTTAATACACAAACATGTTGGAAATGTGTCAAAGATATGTATGTGTTCCAAGATTGTCACTAATTCTGATAGTAGTTTACTACTGGGTTAGTTTAATATGAATTAATGAGTGTATTTACAATGTTATATTGTAGTATAACTGTATAGAATGACATTGATTCTGACTATAGATTGTTGTCATTTTTCAGTTGTGTATGCCAACACATGAGGAAAAATGTATTGTTTTATGAATTTATGTCCTAAACTAAACGAAATAAAAAACAAAATTTAAAAAAAAATGAAATAGTCCATGGGTCTCAACAGACACCCGAGTTCTAAAAAAACTCATTTTTGCTATTGTAACATGTAAAAGGTCATATATTTGACAAAGAAAGATAACTTGAACTGTATTAAATTGTGGTCCCAGAGAATAATTGTGACCAAGTTTTAAAACAATTAGATAAATTTCTTTTACATAAATTGATTCATAGTTTTTTCCTTCAAAGAGGTAAATGTGAGGACCCTGGGGCCATTGAATTCATAACCTAGGTAAAGTACTTCAAGTCCTCTCAGAATTCAGTGCTATCATATTATCAATCTTGAGAAGAAGATTTTTGGGATTTCAGTCAATCTGATCCCTTCTGGCCCCACCCCTAAGGCCCTTTTTTGGGGGGGGACCTTATAAATTCATAATTTTGGTTCAACTTTCGCAATGAAATATTTCTGAAAAAATTCTTTTAATTTGTTTTTAAGTATTTTTGAGAAATTGAAAAAGTAAAATGTTTGCCAAAAGATGGCAAACAGAGTACAACACACACAATGTCATTGCATAAGGTCACTTCAGATTTCAACTCTGGTGACCTAAAAAGTATATTGCTTACTTTTTGTTACTGCACTGCAGTGTTTACAAATGTCTAGAATAAAGAGTTAACTATCAGCCTAGGTTAAGCATTAAAAAATACAAGATTGTTCTAGTGTCCAAAAATGGGAACAAGATCTAGTGTCCAAAAATGGGAACAAGATCTGTTAATGTTGATATGTCCGATTTGGCCAGGTAGGAAATCATGTTTATTTGTTGGGTCTTGCCATGCGTGCAGATTTCTGCACAGCATTCCCACCGATGAACAGCGTCTTGGACTGCCTTTCTCGTTCAGTAAGTGCCTGTACGACCTTGTACAGTTCGTCAAGCCTCTCGTTTTGCTTCTTCAGTGCTTCCTGGTAAGCCTTATCATCTTTATTGGCCCGCTCCTGTTGCTGCAAAAGTAGTCGCTCAATTTCACGAGATAATGAGTCCACCCTCATTTTGAGATCCATCTTCTCCCGCTCTGCTCTTTCCAGCTCTATTATCAGATCCTCCTTCTCAGCAACCATTTGGTTAATTCGGTGTTGATCTGCAAGCTCATTGTCTTTCAAAGCACGGTTGTCTGATTCCAGTTCATCTACACGTTCTCTCAGATTCAGAATCTCGATATTTGACATTTCTAGTTCACTCTTCAACTGTGTGTTTTCCTTGTTTGTTGTCGAGAGTTTGGACCATCTTTCGTTCTCCTTGTCCCTCATCTGTGCATGAGTTTGTTGCAGCTGATCGTACTTCTGCTTCAGCTGATTATAAGCGTCAGAGGAGTTTCGCAGCTGCTCTACGCTGTCTTGTAAGGAAAACAAAGCCTTCTCATTCCTGTCAACCAGTTGCGCCTTTTGTTCTTCCCAGTCGCCACGAAAATTATTCAATTTTTCGTCCATTTTCCTCTCAATTTCTTGAGCAATTTTTCTCTCCATTGACAATTCTATTTCCATTCTCTCTTCGTGGCGACGTCTTTCGAATCCATCAAGGAGGTCATTTGTCACCTTGCCGCTGAATTCAGCAAACATCTGACCAATAGCTGTGGTCATCCTATCCATGTTCATGTGATTTACTCTTTCAGAAACTGGAGTTTGGACCCTTGCACTGCCATTGAATCCACTATCGTAATGTCCACCCGAAGCCTCCTTTATCACATGTGGGGACTGCTGTTGTTGTGGTTGTTGATGCTCTGCTGAATGTGTCCCCATCATCTTAGTCTACGACAGAGTAATAAGTTATAATTAACCAACAATCAATCACAAATTAAACAAGGCTACTTTTTCATGCTGGAGGCTTGTCATACTCACAGTCATATAAAACAGAATAAAAATAAAAAAATCAAATCGATTAAATTGAAAATGTGATGAAGTAAATTTGAATTTTGCATTTTGAATTTGAAAAAAATGTATAATATACTTTTGTCAGGAAACATTTCAGCTTTAAACAACTTAACGTGTAGTTGGTGTTTTGAAAAATGTATTTGTTATTTTTGGTGTGTATTACCACAGAAGCCTCTGATGACATGTGGAAGACACCATTTGTGGCATGGACTGTGTGTTCCCGTCTAGGTGCCATGCTGGTTGATGGACGTAGTTGTTGTGCCAGTGCGCTCTCCCTGACCATTGACGAAGATGCCCTCGCGTTAGGCCGACCTAAAGATAAGAAATAATTTCAAACAAGAGGTCTATGGGGCTTGTAACATTCACTTGGTTTGGTAAGGTTGCTTCATTTTAAACAAAGGAACGTTATCTTAAAGACTGATAACTACTTATCTGTTAGACCTGCCCCCTCTCTACAAAGGGGGTCTGTCATAAACTAAACCAAAGTCCCATTTACCCAACCATAGTTCTGACCTAATTCAAACAAAATACATTAAAACAGGAGAAGTATTTAAAAAAAATTACTACATTTCTCATACTGGGCCCTGCTTCACTGGCCTTAGGGAGGATGCTTGGTTGTCCCATTGTTTATACAAAATTAGAATTGCACCAAGGATGCTACTGATGAAATTGGGACAATATCCAGAATATTCCTTCATCATACAGAAAAAATTATTTTACTTGATTTCAAAGAATTTTCCTCTTTTGCTCCCAACATCTTTGGTGCCATGGTAAACACAAAATCAATTCTGCTTCACCAAAGGATGCTTCAGACCAATATTCTATCACCCCATCAGAAGAAGTATTATAGAGGATTTACTATATTTCCTCTATTTGACCCACCTCTCTGGCATTAGAATAGGGGTTGTCATACCAACTATTAATACAAAATTGATTATCTTCACCCAATGATGTGTCAGACCAAATTTAGATCATTTCATTTTTTCTTTTTTTTTTTTACTAAATTTGCCCCTTTTTGGGGGATCAGCCCTTCATTTGTACAGTCTTGACTCTCCATCTTGCCTGAATTTTTCCAGCCAAATATGAGTAATATCCAGTGGATAGTTCTAGAGAAGAAGTTGTTTATACCAATATAGTTACATTTCCCCTTTTGGAGCTGCTCCTCAGCCCAGTGGGAGTCAGTCCTATCATTTGTACAATTTTGAATCCCAACCACCTAAGGATGCTTCCTGTACCAGTCTAATAAGGATAAAGATTGCTTGACTGTTATGCATTTTCTTCATCAACTTGTGCCGTTCAAATATAATCAATCTCATCAAATCACGGTATAAAAGCAGTAGATAAGTTGAGCACATAGAAGTTTCATCGTAGGACAGTCTATTGTTTGTTATATTCTCAACTGATATTAAAATAATCCTAAAAAAAACATGAAACCACAACGGAATGTTGGAGAATAACAGAGAATATTTGCTTTAATATATGTAAGCCTGTCTTTGACAGGTTATCTGACTGAATCCCAGGCTGTAGCAATATGTCTTTATTAGGAAGCATTGAATTAAGTATCGGTTTATAAATTCCATAAACAGGACAAAAAATATCTGTTATAATTTGTACATTATCTTTACAAATCGTGAAAGTTGTTACCTTAAACATTATGTGTAATGCAACACAGAAATCACAACTTCAATACTAATTTTTAGACACATGCCATTTATAACTACTTTCGGATCTGAATGTTACATTTTTCAAATCCTTTGGTCAAAAAGTATCCAAGTATTTATGGATTGTAGTGAATTACAATACATTGAATTTTCGTGTCTTTGCCAAGTAGCCTCGACAATTTGTGCCAATCTAAACAATGGTAACAGTTACAATAGGTACAAATAGCAGCCAAAGATAACGACATCGAAGACGTCACCCTTTGTACGTATCTAGTTCTAAGGAATGAAATTCATGGTGTTATACACTTAACACTTTGGGTCACTGAAATTATTTCTAAAAATTGTCAGCTTTAATTTTTATGAATATTTCTTTCCACGACACTTCAATTGATTGTAAACTAAACTGTTAATATGTTGAGAACACATGCAACATGCTATGATCTGATCTGAACCACAATGAAATAACATGAGAATACAAATGTATTAAGATTAAACTGTTTAATACTTTATATTGTAAAGTGATACATATCTATATATGAGAATGCTTCTTTATGTTACAAAAAGTTCCATTTCACATCTAAACTACTTCCTTTTTCCATTATATCTTCATTGAGCGATCCCCAGTCGCTGTTCGGCCATTTTATTTTTACTGGGGCTGACCAAAATGACTTCCTACTGTTTTCCTGATTTGAAAATGTTAATTTGCTTCAATTTATTACCACAAAAGTAGACAAAGTGTAAAATAATGAGTGAAGTATAAATTTACATACAAAATCATGCAGCATGCAGTGATCACGCCAATGGAAAACTGATCGTAATTATAAATATTAATTATTTACCTGGGAAACCTGTTGTTGTGAAATAAAAAAAAAAATAAAACTGAATTTTAACATTGGACTTAATTATTGATAACATTGAACATATAACTTATCACAATATCGGATCCCATTAGATAAGGAATCAGTGTTAAGATAGCTTCTGAACTAATTTCTTATCCAATTAAAATTGGGTTCATTAGATACATAGAGACAATGAGATGTTAAATAATGGATTTCCAATATAGTATACACACCTGTATATACCTGGTGGAATTCCCGTGGATCTACTCCACTGATATATATAGATTACAGTAGAAAAAATGAAGACATAGTGGTAGGTGAACCCTACAGTAGTACTAGGTAAAAGGGTTTTTTTCAGGAAATACTCAGACCTGAAATATGATAATCATTGCTTTGTATGATAGACCTAGAATATAATTATCAATGTTTGGTAGGTCAGTTCTATAATGTGATATCAATGTTTGGTCAGTTCTATAATGTGATATCAATGTTTGGTCAGTTCTATAATGTGATATCAATGTTTGGTAGGTCAGTTCTATAATGTGATATCAATGTTTGGTAGGTCAGTTCTATAATGTGATATCAATGTTTGGTCAGTTCTATAATGTGATATCAGTGTTTGGTACATCAGTTCTATAATGTGATATCAATGTTTGGTCAGTTCTATAATGTGATATCAATGTTTGGTCAGTTCTATAATGTGATATCAATGTTTGGTCAGTTCTATAATGTGATATCAATGTTTGGTACATCAGTTCTATAATGTGATATCAATGTTTGGTCAGTTCTATAATGTGATATCAATGTTTGGTCAGTTCTATAATGTGATATCAATGTTTGGTCAGTTCTATAATGTGATATCAATGTTTGGTCAGTTCTATAATGTGATATCAATGTTTGGTCAGTTCTATAATGTGATATCAATGTTTGGTCAGTTCTATAATGTGATATCAATGTTTGGTAGGTCAGTTCTATAATGTGATATCAATGTTTGGTCAGTTCTATAATGTGATATCAATGTTTGGTCAGTTCTATAATGTGATATCAATGTTTGGTCAGTTCTATAATGTGATATCAATGTTTGGTAGGTCAGTTCTATAATGTGATATCAATGTTTGGTCAGTTCTATAATGTGATATCAGTGTTTGGTACATCAGTTCTATAATGTGATATCAATGTTTGGTCAGTTCTATAATGTGATATCAATGTTTGGTCAGTTCTATAATGTGATATCAATGTTTGGTCAGTTCTATAATGTGATATCAATGTTTGGTCAGTTCTATAATGTGATATCAATGTTTGGTACATCAGTTCTATAATGTGATATCAATGTTTGGTCAGTTCTATAATGTGATATCAATGTTTGGTCAGTTCTATAATGTGATATCAATGTTTGGTCAGTTCTATAATGTGATATCAATGTTTGGTAGGTCAGTTCTATAATGTGATATCAATGTTTGGTCAGTTCTATAATGTGATATCAATGTTTGGTCAGTTCTATAATGTGATATCAATGTTTGGTCAGTTCTATAATGTGATATCAATGTTTGGTAGGTCAGTTATATAATGTGATATCAGTGTTTGGTACATCAGTTCTATAATGTGATATCAATGTTTGGTCAGTTCTATAATGTGATATCAATGTTTGGTCAGTTCTATAATGTGATATCAATGTTTGGTAGGTCAGTTCTTTAATGTGATATCAATGTTTGGTAGGTCAGTTCTATAATGTGATATCAATGTTTGGTCAGTTCTATAATGTGATATCAATGTTTGGTCAGTTCTATAATGTGATATCAATGTTTGGTCAGTTCTATAATGTGATATCAATGTTTGGTCAGTTCTATAATGTGATATCAATGTTTGGTACATCAGTTCTATAATGTGATATCAATGTTTGGTCAGTTCTATAATGTGATATCAATGTTTGGTCAGTTCTATAATGTGATATCAATGTTTGGTCAGTTCTATAATGTGATATCAATGTTTGGTCAGTTCTATAATGTGATATCAATGTTTGGTCAGTTCTATAATGTGATATCAATGTTTGGTAGGTCAGTTCTATAATGTGATATCAATGTTTGGTGATATCAATGTTTGGTCAGTTCTATAATGTGATATCAATGTTTGGTCAGTTGATATCAATGTTTGGTCAGTTCTATAATGTGATATCAATGTTTGGTCAGTTCTATAATGTGATATCAATGTTTGGTCAGTTCTATAATGTGATATCAATGTTTGGTAGGTCAGTTCTATAATGTGATATCAATGTTTGGTAGGTCAGTTCTATAATGTGATATCAATGTTTGGTCAGTTCTATAATGTGATATCAATGTTTGGTCAGTTCTATAATGTGATATCAATGTTTGGTCAGTTCTATAATGTGATATCAATGTTTGGTCAGTTCTATAATGTGATATCAATGTTTGGTCAGTTCTATAATGTGATATCAATGTTTGGTCAGTTCTATAATGTGATATCAATGTTTGGTAGGTCAGTTCTATAATGTGATATCAATGTTTGGTCAGTTCTATAATGTGATATCAATGTTTGGTCAGTTCTATAATGTGATATCAATGTTTGGTAGTTCTATAATGTGATATCAATGTTCTATAATGTGATATCAATGTTTGGTAGGTCAGTTCTATAATGTGATATCAATGTTTGGTCAGTTCTATAATGTGATATCAATGTTTGGTCAGTTCTATAATGTGATATCAATGTTTGGTCAGTTCTATAATGTGATATCAATGTTTGGTAGTTCTATAATGTGATATCAATGTTTGGTAGGTCAGTTCTATAATGTGATATCAATGTTTGGTCAGTTCTATAATGTGATATCAATGTTTGGTAGGTCAGTTCTATAATGTGATATCAATGTTTGGTAGGTCAGTTCTATAATGTGATATCAATGTTTGGTCAGTTCTATAATGTGATATCAATGTTTGGTCAGTTCTATAATGTGATATCAATGTTTGGTTTGTCAGTTCTATAATGTGATATCAATGTTTGGTCAGTTCTATAATGTGATATCAATGTTTGGTCAGTTCTATAATGTTATATCAGTGTTTGGTTTGTCAGTTCTATAATGTTTAAAAATGATACATTCTGTATTTCACATCAACTGAAATAAACTGTTGGTGTGATGTGAGATTGTGTTACATGAAAACTAATTTCAATATGATAAAATGGTAACTAAATCATTTAAATGGGAGAAATGATGACATTTTGAGTGATTTTACAAAAATATCTTACATCATATATTAGTATAAGTTTACAATAAATACCTGTAATATCTTTCAAAATTATATCAAATTATGGTCTTACTTGAACGTTGCACACTACACATTTAAATATTTACAACATTTTAATAATTACGCTGTCAATTTGGGATACAATCCTGACAATTGTACAGAAGGAGGAATTTTGAAAATTTGCTCCTTCTCCCCTATTTGTCTGAATGTTCAATGTTAAAATATGATTACACTTTATAAATATTTATACACTTTATAATATATTCAAGGCAATATTCAAATTACTGGTACACATTACGTGTGTGTAATACACAAATTAAGGTCCTTTGATTTCAGTCAGTATGATATGTGTTACATTGACCTGACAGAAAAATATTGACAGAATGGAAAAGGTCTTTAATTGATAAATTATATATCGCCTTATAAGGTTATAACATATTGCTATATAAAACAATAAATAATCATTTAATCCATAACTTTAATATCCTGACTGAAATGAACTGTTCTATGCCCAGTAATGCTGGCATATCCACAGGAAAATCGATGTAAATAAAGAAAAAGTGAAAGTTTAATATTATTGACTCAACTCAAATACATACCATCCTTGCAAAGTTTTTCCACAATATTGAAGAATCGTTCTTCCTCCAGACTCTGTATGAAGGCTGTGAAGGCATGAGGTTCAGTTGAAGCCAGAAGTAACTGGATAAACTCATTGAACTTCTTATGGGGTGTTGGTGGGTTCACTTTGTCTATTCGTTCACGTTCATCAAATGTGATCACATTCTTGTCCACTAGATGGTCAAGAATCGGGTCTAGGTAACCCAACCTCTCTTTTAGGAAAGTGATGTTTGAAGTAATCCTTTTTTTCTGTTCTTTATCCATCTTTTGTTTTTAAATTTTATATCCTCTTTTTTTTTAAGGTATGATATTTATCTAACAGTAATAAGTACACCATAAACGCTCCACACTACCTATACCTGGTGTTTAAATATTTCACCTTGAATGACTTTAGACAGGTATACCTGCCTTGTTTTAAAGAGTACTCATTACCTGTGGTCTATTAAAACCTATACACAAATATTAAAACAATAGTAATATGGTATGCTCTATTGAGCTTTGATCAGTGACTGATACAAAGTCTCCACAGACTTGAAACAAAACAACAAAGAAACAGTCATTTAAAGGTAACGTTCATGTCATTTTGGATACTTGCCTAAACCAGTGTGTTACCTTAAAAACAATAGGCACATGGGGCCTGCATTGTTCACATGGCTAGTTCAGCTTTCCACTACAAAATTAAGTCATCGACAATATTCTTAAATGAAAGAAGGATTTTTAAGAACTTATTGCACCACAAAACACTGAGCTTTGGGGTACCATACTCCTGGCTTATACAAAATTTGGTTCTTTTCAATCAGATATGTTTCAGACCAAATTAGGACATAACCAAGGCATTCCAACAAATCAGAAGGATTTTAGAAAATTTTTTCTATTTCCCTATTGGGAATTTTTTCTATCTCCCATTTTGAGCCTCGCCCCTCATATCCTAGGGGGCCACAAAGACCCACCGTTTACATAAAACTATTCATCTTCACCCAAGGATGCTTTGGATCAAATTGGGAAAGAATCATCAAACTCTTACAGAGGAAGGATTTTATAGAATTTTTTTTATCTCCCCTTTAATGGTCATACCCCTCCCATCCTAGGAGGGTAAGACTCACCGTTACACAAAATTGATTTCTCTTCAACCAGGAATGGTTTCAAACTAAATTGGAACAGAACCCTGTAATTCCTATGGAAAAAGAAAGATTATCAATAATTTTCTGAAAAAAGAAAAATCCTCTACTGTGCCCTGTCCCTCCTACCCAATGGGCCCAGAGCAATTGATTTATCTCCCTTCATCGATGGAATCTTCTTGGCTAAATTGGGACGTTTTCACAGAAAAAGCATTTTTAAAAATTTGCTCTTTTCCCATCTATTGGGCCCCACTCACCCTACCAAGGGGCCAAGACCAATCATACACACAAAATTTATCCCTTCCATCCAAGAATGCTTCAAACCAAATGGTGACAGAATCCTGGCATTCATACAGAAGGATTTTGAAGAATTTTCTCTATATCTCCTATCGGGCCCATCCTCTGGGCATAGAGGGGGTCAGGCCCACTGTTTATATAAAATTGATTCTCCTTCACCTAAGTATGCTTCAGACCAATGGGACAGAATACATGCATCCCTACAGATAGCACTTCCCCTATGACTTTAGAGGGTCAGACCTTCAATTAATAAAAAGTTGAATCCCTTTAATCCAAAGATATTTGGACAGAATTCCTACATCCTTACAAAAGAAAATTGATGTTCAATTTCCCAAACAGAGCTCCAACCTTCCTGCCTAGATGACTGTTTCCTTGAAACCCTTGACACCCGAGCATGGCTTCAGACTAAATTTGGGTAAAATTCAAACATTCCTACAGGAGGAGTAGGATTTTCTCTGTTTCACCCTAATGGGCCCTGCCCTTCCCACCCCAGTGGGCAGAAACCTACCATTTATACAACTTTTGTTTTAGCTTCATGCAAGGATGCCTCTGACCAAATTTTGTGAAAATATATCTACATGTAATTGTTCATGACTGGTAGTAATTTGTGGAAAAGGCCGATATAAGAACGACAGCCCTTTGGGACAGGTAAGCTAAAAATGATACTGTTTATTGATATCTGTAAATCAATTCAGGAATATCAATAATTAATTTACATATAACCATAAATATGTCTTTATATCCATAGATAATTCTCATGTCCACAACGCAGTTTACATTCATGAATATCAACAAGTTAGTCTAGTTGCATTGCTAACAAATAACCCAAACAAGGATATCATTGTAACAAAATTTATTCTTGGTTTAGAATGGTTGACAACATCATTATAACCAGAAATTTTTTTGTTTTGCTCTATGAAACATATAATGTAAACAACCTTATTTAACGACATTTGAAATGTGATATCTTTCTATTGTATAACACCTGCTCTGAGAAATCAACCACATATAAAGACCGACTAAAGTACAGTGCAAATTTGCTAAAATATTCTACACGAGGTATTTATTGCTTTGAAAAAATTGAAATCTTAATATGACTGAAAGACATTTTTTAAAACGAGTTGATAGCTTCTGCAGTTTTTAAGTGAAGAAAACACTATCAAAAGCACTATGAGTAAAAACCAAGCTTCATGTCACATTTAATTCCATTTTTGCACATGAAGAATGGAACATGCATATCAGTAAAATATCAGGCATCAAATTTCCCCATTTTTGTTATTTTTGTGTTAAGGTCATGACTGTCCCTCAATAAATGCACCTGGTAATTAACCTTGTCTGATAGAAAAGAATCCTTATAACACAACCAGTAGAAAAATTGAGTGTGACATTTCCATAACTAGACGGTCTCCTTCATCAGTGCTAGTACGTTTCATACTTCTGTAGTCACTGACATGTCACACTCTAATCATCTACTTGTGTTATAAAAACCTTAATTCTATTGACATAACCACCCAAAGAAAATGTTCTGAATTAACCTTGTCTGATGATCAATGTCCTCCACTGATCACACTTGGTATTGATCTTGTTTGACTATGATCCTCCACTGATCACACTTGGTATTGATCTTGTTTGACTATGATCCTCCACTGATCACACTTGGTATTGATCTTGTTTGACTATGATCCTCCACTGATCACACTTGGTATTGATCTTGTTTGATCCTCCACTGATCACACTTGGTATTGATCTTGTTTGATCCTCCACTGATCACACTTGGTATTGATCTTGTTTGATCCTCCACTGATCACACTTGGTATTGATCTTGTTTGACTATGATCCTCCACTGATCACACTTGGTATTGATCTTGTTTGATCCTCCACTGATCACACTTGGTATTGATCTTGTTTGACCATGATCCTCCACTGATCACACTTGGTATTGATCTTGTTTGATCCTCCACTGATCACACTTGGTATTGATCTTGTTTGATCCTCCACTGATCACACTTGGTATTGATCTTGTTTGACCATGATCCTCTACTGATCACACATGGTATTGATCTTGTTTGCTCCTCCACTGATCACACTTGGTATTGATCTTGTTTGACTATGATCCTCCACTGATCACACCTGGTATTGATCTTGTTTGATCCTCCACTGATCACACTTGGTATTGATCTTGTTTGACTATGATCCTCCACTGATCACACTTGGTATTGATCTTGTTTGATCCTCCACTGATCACACTTGGTATTGATCTTGTTTGATCCTCCACTGATCACACTTGGTATTGATCTTGTTTGACTATGATCCTCCACTGATCACACCTGGTATTGATCTTGTTTGATCCTCCACTGATCACACCTGGTATTGATCTTGTTTGATCCTCCACTGAACACACTTGGTATTGATCTTGTTTGACTATGATCCTCCACTGATCACACTTGGTATTGATCTTGTTTGATCCTCCGCTGATCACACTTGGTATTGATCTTGTTTGATCCTTCACTGATCACACTTGGTATTGATCTTGTTTGATCCTCCACTGATCACACTTGGTATTGATCTTGTTTGATCCTCCACTGATCACACTTGGTATTGATCTTGTTTAACTATGATCCTCCACTGATCACACCTGGTATTGATCTTGTTTGATCCTCCACTGATCACACCTGGTATTGATCTTGTTTGATCCTCCACTGAACACACTTGGTATTGATCTTGTTTGACCCTCCACTGAACACACTTGGTATTGATCTTGTTTGACCCTCCACTGATCACACTTGGTATTGATCTTGTTTGACCATGATCCTCTACTGATCACACATGGTATTGATCTTGTTTGATCCTCCACTGATCACACTTGGTATTGATCTTGTTTGATCATGATCCTCCACTGATCACACTAGGTATTGATCTTGTTTGATCCTCCACTGATCACACTTGGTATTGATCTTGTTTGATCCTCCACTGATCACACTGATCACACCTGGTATTGATCTTGTTTGATCATGATTCCCAACTGAACACACTTGGTATTGATCTTGTTTGATCCTTCACTGATCACACTTGGTATTGATCTTGTTTGATCCTCCACTGATCACACTTGGTATTGATCTTGTTTGATCCTTCACTGATCACACTTGGTATTGATCTTGTTTGATCCTTCACTGATCACACTTGGTATTGATCTTGTTTGATCCTCCACTGATCACACCTGGTATTGATCTTGTTTGATCATGATTCCCAACTGAACACACTTGGTATTGATCTTGTTTGATCCTCCACTGATCACACTTGGTATTGATCTTGTTTGACCATGATCCTCCACTGATCACACTTGGTATTGATCTTGTTTGATCCTCCACTGAACACACTTGGTATTGATCTTGTTTTATCATGATCCTCCACTGATCACACCTGGTATTGATCTTGTTTGATCATGATTCCCAACTGAACACACTTGGTATTGATCTTCTTTGATCCTTCACTGATCACACTTGGTATTGATCTTGTTTGATCCTTCACTGATCACACTTGGTATTGATCTTGTTTGATCCTCCACTGATCACACCTGGTATTGATCTTGTTTGATCATGATTCCCAACTGAACACACTTGGTATTGATCTTGTTTGATCCTTCACTGATCACACATGGTATTGATCTTGTTTGATCCTCCACTGATCACACTTGGTATTGATCTTGTTTGATCCTCCACTGATCACACTTGGTATTGATCTTGTTTGACCATGATCCTCCACTGATCACAAAGACACAGTCATCACCTATTTGACACTTTATCTATATCTCATTCTACTGTTTTGCATTGATATTATATTCTTATTAGTATTTATATTGCTTTTAAATCTTCCACAGCCTTTTAGTCAGAGTTATCTGCCCTTAAAACATTTGACTGCAGGACTCATTATCACTGTCTCCTTTTGTTTCATCACTTCCTGCCTCACTCTGGTTATCCATTTCCTGTAATGAAGATGTTTGAAATTCAAGTGTAAGATCACTTGTACTTTGGGCAGGTAGGCTCAAAATTTTGTCAACAGTAAATTGAAAAAATAAAACCTAAATTCTTTACCTTTTGTTTCCATGGTAACCTGTAGAGAAAATATCATCAAGAGACTAATGGGACCTGTTGTTATTCACTATCATGTTGTTACGTTTTCCCAAACTTTTAGGAATTTGAAAGCCTCAAGCTAAATTTTGACAAAATACCTTCATTCAAGCAGAGTTAAAAAATTCCAAACTTTTACCTCTGTTTTTTATTTTGGGCCCTGTCCTCTGTAGGCCATTGATTTACATAAAACTGAGTTCCCTTTAACCAAGGCTACTTCCATAGCAACAAATGAACATGAATTTCAAACTTTACGTCTATCTTCTCTATCTGGCCAATTTGGATGCCTCAGGCTAAGTTTGATCAGTCGCCACCCACTGCTTATACAAATTGTATTCTTCTTCACCACATTGGAACAGAATCCTTCAATTCCTATACATATGAAGGTGTTTAAAGTATTGGTTACATTGTCTCTATTGAACCCTGCCCTTTTGGCCAGAGGGGTCAGACCCACCAGTTATACAAAACTGATTGTTCTTCAGTTAAGGATCCTTCAGTTGCACGATTTTTCGAAATGCAGCCTACAAAAGCTTACAAACACAGGGCTTTGTATGCCTGATGGCTATTTTACAGGGTAACAAAGACATATAAAATATTAAAGAAATCTTCCAAATAGCAAAAGCCAGGATGTGGACACTAGCCTCATATGTGTAGTGTTAAATGAAAAATATATAAAGTGAATGGTCGAAAAAAAAACACAGTTAAACCCCACCCTCTTATCATGTCTGGTGCATTACAATGTATGATGTGACATTTGCAACCACAAATTAACATTCCTGGCTGATTTAGTTGATCAAATAATAGTCCCCTACAGGCTTGATGGTGACAATGGAATGGATCTGTATGTTGACTAGGACCTACCACATCACTTTCTTCATCGGGAACAGATTCCTCTTCATCACTTTCATCTTCCTTTTCCTCTTCCACAACTGATGTCTGGGACATTATTTCTTCACCCTGTTATTGGACCATAAACATACATCATGTAGTAACACATTAAAAAGGCCTGAAGAGTTTGGTTCTTGTGGCATTCATTCGGTCAACTGACTGTAGGTGGTCAAGGAACCATTTAACACTATCATGGGGTACACTATAAAGGTTGAGTGACCTGATATAATGTTCAGGTACACTATAAAGGTGGAGTGACTTACCTTAAGATCCCTGTTTTTGAGGTTGCCAAGCCAGAATGCCTCCAAGCACTTGTTGACTGTGAGCATGACTTTGACTCTGTACACAAATGTCTCCAGACTTTTCTTCAAAAATGGCACCTGATTGGTCAGTGCTAGGTCTCTCAATATCTGTAAGGTATCATACATACCAACATTTAGCAATGCTGTCAAAAATGTTTGTCAGACTGCTTCATTTAACAAATCCTGTGTTTTTGCTAGTAAATTATCTTCCATATTGCCATGCCATACAGGATATATGCCATAAGTATCATTACACATGCTTCTTATTAACTCAGCTATGCCAAAATTCAGTTTCGCAGTAAAGGCAAACAAGAGGCACAATGGGCCCGACTCACTGACCTTTTCTACAGCTTACACATGTGGTAAAGTGTGCACTGACTTTGGATTATCGCACGTGTGTTGGAGTGTGTATACTGACCTTTGAGTGACCACACATATGGTGGAGTGCACGTGTACTAAGCTGTAGGTTTTTGAGCAAACTTTGAATATCTTCTCTATGTGACCGAAACAAGCTGTCCAACAGTGGCATTCCTTGTCGCAAGAATATGTCCAGGAACTGGCGACCACACTGCAAAAACATTATCAAGAGTGAATCAATATCACAAGGTTCTTTCTATGATCTTTTATTGTTAAGATATTGATGACTAAGCATGGAAAATATATGCAGCATGACACATGCTTTAGATATACACAAATCTACTTAAGTTAGCTAAAAATGATATGATTTCGATCATACCTTCAGAGCTGTTCCCAGATTCATCCTTCCATCAAAAGCCTGAAATGAAAACATAGCTCAATGTTATCAAATCCATAAAAATTACAAAACCATTCAAAAGAAATCAGTTTAACATATCCAGTGGAGTTGAAAAAAAAGTGATAAAAGATACAAAGATTCAAAATGTGCATATTATTAATGTATACATATTGAAAACCTGTGTTCAAATTTAGACAAAAATCTTTGTACCCACCATTTTTTTTATACTCATTTGGGTTTGTAAAGAAGTACTTTTCTTTTCCTTCCTTTGTTTTTGCTCTCAATTATATAGAAAATTTGAAAACTCCTCTTAAGAAAGTCGAATCCATCATGGTTGCATATCGGCAATCCATTAATAAAACAAAATTTTTCCCTTTTTCCCATAGATACATTCATCTTAACAGAAGGTCGTAGTTATTCCTCTGTTTCTTCTATTGTACCCCAATGTTATGCTCCCAAGGGGAGTCAGGCCAATTGGTTATACAATATTGAGTTCATTTTTACCCAGGGATGCTCCAGACCAAATTTGGATAATATTTTGTCATTCCTTCAGAGGAAGAAGAATTTTGGCCAGGTTTGCTAATGAAACTCTGGAGATAAATATTACAAACATGGCAGCATAATATTTTGTTACTCTTACCTTGATAAGGTTCACCAGTATGTGTAATATACGAACTGTTTGATTCCATCTCAACAGGCAGTCTAGCTTCATCTGGTAAAGATACAATCACAGGAATTAGTAAAGAGAGGAGAGCAATGGAAGACCTGATAGACAAAATACATTAAATCACATAAATTAATTGACTTCAGTAAATAGCTACATTTTGTGTACTTTTTTTCCTACAATCATTTTACCAGCACATCACAATATTTTACATCATAGTGTACATGAGATTTCAGAGAAAAAAGTTGTGTCGACTGATTACAGATGAAGTTGCCAGTGTTGTTATTGAAATGTCACTTTTCAAGCCTCTGCTGGTTGTGTTGAAGCATTTCTATTCTACTGACATTACTGACCTAATGTTTCCAAAATATCTTAATAGGGAGGACATACTGATACAGAATTACAGCTTAAATTTCACTCTATTTTACAGGGAGACAAATCTACCTTTCTGGTCTCATTCTATTTTACAGGGAGACAACTCTACCTTTCTGGTCTTATTCTATTTTACAGGGGGACAAATCTACCTTTCTGGTCTCACTCTTTTTTACAGGGAGACAACTCTACCTTTCTGGTCCCACTCTATTTTACAGAAAGACAACTCTACCTTTCTGGTGTCACTTTATCTTACAGAAAGACAACTCTACCTTTCTGGTCTCACTCTATTTTACAGGGAGACAACTCTACCTTTCTGGTCTTATTCTATTTTACAGGGAAACAAATCTACTTCTCTGTTTATTACAAGGAGACAACTTTACCTCTCTAGTGTCACTTTGTTTTACAGGTGTGATTATTTTGAGGCATCCAATCAATTCATTGAACATTATCCTGTAGAACACTGAGAATGAGTGTTTAGTCAGTGTAGGATACAAGTCAGAGCTGCCATTCTTGTCCATCTCCAGTAACTCTGTTATTCCCTTGGTCACTATGGTTTCTACACATGACAAAGAGTCCTCAGAATAACTGAGGTAGGTCCTGAAAGGAAAGAAGAATTCTGAAGACCTGCAGACATATACATTTAAGCAATAAACTGAAAAGACAGCAATAGGCCTTGGTGGATAGTTGACTTTAAAGATCCGATATATGATATAGGCCTGATGGGCCTGAATTGCTCACCTGTTCTACAGTTATAAAAAGAAGATTTTGTCAGTTCATAAAGTTAATTACATGCTACTTCGCAAATGCCATGACCAAGGTCCTATTGCTTGTTTTCAGAAGAACTTTTAAGTTCACAACACATCTGGCCCTGCCAAAACACCTGTGACTGTGAAAGTTGTTTAGAGTTGTTCATTTAAATAAAGATAGCCCTTCATACAATTATGTTGTGGAAACATTATCAATAGCCTTGACCTTTTGGTTATCCAGAAGAAGCTTTTCAAAGATTTTATCACATCTGACCCCTGTAGCATTGAAAGCGGGTGAAGGTCATTCATCTGAACAAATTTGGTAGGAATGGATCCTAGCATGCTAACTACAGGTCAATATTATTATGCATGAGCGTAGCCTCTTGGCAGATGAGAAAAGTTGACTCCTAAAGACAAACAGATGGGTGATGGACACCAAGGCATGGCATAAGCAAGTGAGTTAATAACCTGATTTAGGACGCTAATCTGAGGTTTTTGTCTCCTCACCTGGCAATACAAGTCCATTTTAAACACACATTTGCTATTGTTTTATAGGAAACTTGTAGGCCTGGGAAGTTCTGTCTTAATACAAATTACATCAGGAGAAAACAATGTTAACATGATTTTCCAGACAGTGGGCATTGTGCTATAGAAACCATTGGGAACCTGCATATGAAATTTTAGAAAGATTAATTATTTTTCAGCAAGACATTGTTAAAAAGCTTTCAAAATCCCACATACTGGTAACCAAAATCCAGGATGAATGGACAGACACAAGACAAACAGCTCACCTTACCTAATAACAAAACTTGTTAAGGACAGATGAACAGACACAAGATGAACAGACACAAGATACACAGCTCATCTTACCTAAGTACAAACTGTAGGTTCTCATTATATTTAGCTCCCTTCTCCCTCTCACCATCAGTTCCAATCCATTCCCGCTTTAGGAACTCCTCCGATATTGTCGCTGTCAACATTAAACACAAAAACTGTTTGCATCACATATAAATAATTATGAAAGAGGGTTCAATACCTTATAATCCCAAAACTTGTCTCTATGATAATATGATGATTTTTCTTTTCTACCACCATATATGGGTGTTATTCAACTCAATTCAAAGACATCAATTAATAATTACAACCATCATATAAATAAACTTTTAATCAATACTTTGAAAACGTTTTGATTGGCTGGCAAACACGTAATAAGAAATTGATGATTGTTTTTCTTATAATTTCATTTTACCTGGATTTATATCAATTCATGGCTTTTAAAATAATAAACCTATTTTTTCAGAACATTTTCTTCAGGTTTGTAATGTCAATGGAATAGTAGTTCTTATAACACAGCAAGTAAAAGATTAGAGTGAGACTTTTCAATGACTACACGGTCACCTCTATCAGACAAATGACCAGTATTAAGCAAACTAACAATGTTGTACATAGTGTACGAGATAGTAAGGAATCGACTAACTATTTCGGCTGTGGTAAAGAGATAATAAAATAGAAAGTACACAAGATGGTTACAATGTACTGTAGTCAATTTGGCTCTGCTGTTTATACAACAGATATGTATGACAATCTGACAGCTTTATCACTGATGTATAACAAGATAACATAAAGTGTGATATTATTCCCAGCGCTTCACTGTTTTGAAAAGACAGACTATTGTATATACATGTTATATTACAATTCCACCATGTAGATCATCTTTTACTACTATATGGGTTGGCATTGCTCATAAATAAAATGATTACATAACCAATAATCTTTGTTATATAGTTCATTGTGAGATATATATATATACCGTATGTATAAATATGAAGGTTGTTTTATAAAATTGGACAAGAGGTCCACATGGCCTGTATTGCTCACTTGGATTTGCTTTACCCATGATGAGGAAAAGGATTTTCTCGTTTTGGGCCTCACCCTTACCAAATGTGGACAAAATCAGCAAAAGGAATTCCAATAATTTGCTATTTATTCCCTAAAGGGCCCCGCCCCTCCCACCCCAGGGAACCTATACCAACCATTTATAACAAAAATTGATTACCATTCATGCAAGGATGCTTCAGACAAAATTAGGACAGAATCCTGGCATTCCCAGAGAAAATGAAGGATTAGAAATAACTTACTCTATTTCCCATATTGGGCCCTATCCCTCCCGCCCTGGGCCCCATCCCTCCTGTCCAGGGAAGGCGCGTGATCCACTGTATTGATACCCCTTCACCAAAACATGCTTCTGACCAAATTGGGATAAAATTCTGTCATTCCTTCAGAATAAGGATTTTAAATGATTGCACTATTTCCCATATTGGGCCTCCAGCCCCAGGAGCAGAGACCAAACCAATCATATAAAATAGATAGTTAGATACTAATAGATAGTTAGCTTTGACAACTGTATATAACTTAGACTCACCTATTTTGGAATGAAGGTCATCAGTGACAACTTTGTCCCCAAGTGTGAGCAGGACTCTGAGTAAAGTCACTGAAGTGGTCAAGTTTGGCACTGTACTTGCAAAATTTGCAATGTACTGGTAGGAGGTTCTGGAATGTAATTCAGTGAATAAATGTACATTAATGACAAACAATATTTGTGAATATTTTCTTCCAGTTATCTCTACATTTGAATTGCTTTATGTTCAAACTATGAGTATTTTTTAAGTAAATCAAATGGTATAGTACATTTTTGTACTATATTTTTGTGTTTACATGAAAACCATGACAACTATTAATATTTGTACCAGAAACACCTGAGGGATGTTGGCGCCTGCCATCAATTATCTTTCCTTGTTCTTTAAAGTTTGATTTGTCTCCTTCTTTTCTCTGCTTTGCTTTTGACTATATGAAATTCTAAAATTCATCTAAGAAATTAAAAATTAAAAAAAAATTTTAACTGCCAAGATGGTTGCCTATCAGCTGTAACAACCCTTGTATATAAACTACCTACCTGACAAGTTCTTTAAGCCCTATCTGGGCTGCTGTAACAACCCTTGTATATAAACTACCCACCTGACAATTTCTTTAAGCCCTATCTGGGATGCTGTAACAACCCTTGTATATAAACTACCCACATGACAAGCTCTTTAAGCCCTATCTGGGATGCTGTAACAAGCCTTGTATATAAACTACCCACCTGACAAGCTCTTTAAGCCCTATCTGGGATGCTGTAACAAGCCTTGTATATAAACTACCCACATGACAAGCTCTTTAAGCCCTATCTGGGATGCTGTAACAAGCCTTGTATATAAACTACCCACCTGACAAGCTCTTTAAGCCCTATCTGGGATGCTGTAACAAGCCTTGTATATAAACTACCCACCTGACAAGATCTTTAAGCCCTATCTGGGATGCTGTAACAAGCCTTGTATATAAACTACCTACCTGACACGCTCTTTAAGCCCTATCTGGGATGCTGTAACAAGTCTTGTATATAAACTACCCACCTGACAAGCTCTTTAAGCCCTATCTGGGATGCTGTAACAACCCTTGTATATAAACTACCTACCTGACACGCTCTTTAAGCCCTATTTGGGATGCTGTAACAACCCTTGTATATAAACTACCCACCTGACAAGCTCTTTAAGTCCTATCTGGGATGCTGTAACAACCCTTGTATATAAACTACCCTCCTGACAAGCTCTTTAAGTCCTATCTGGGATGCTGTAACAAGCCTTGTATATAAACTACCTACCTGACAAGCTCTTTAAGCCCTATCTGGGATGCTGTAACAAGCCTTGTATATAAACTACCTACCTGACAAGCTCTTTAAGCCCTATCTGGGATGCTGTGAATGTCTTTATCCTTGCCACCAGGACTCCTAGTGCTTCCTTCAAAAGAGGCTTGTTTTCTGTCATCAAGAATCCATTCCTGTGAGGCGAAACAGTAATAATTAAAGCGACAACACGGTAAAACAATGTTTTTTTCTGTAGTTTTTATCATTTTAGGGCATATATATCGAGTGTATCACCTGATGAACAATGCCAGTTGGTTTCTGTTGAAACATGTACATAAAGATGCTAAGTATTCACCATAAAAGGAAAATCTCTCATCATTGATTAATAAGTCTGTTTATGTAACACACCACATCAGTAAACGACAATGGCTTCCAATGTGAATCGGACAGGGTTGAAAAAAAGTTATGATTTTAGCCACAAAATGAATTATGACCAAATTGGCAGACAAAAATCTCAGAATTGCACCAGCTTACCATGGCAGACGGGAACTTATCAGACGAAAAAAGCAATCAGGATGGTGCATGTAAACTGCTGGAATGACTGACAGACCTACTAAGTTGAACTAGGTCAATGCTTTGCGTGTTGTTTACAATATGTGTACAGCTGATGGTTATTAATATCACCGTTTTTCATCATTTTAAATAAAATTTAAGTTATCAAACAATGTCTTCTTGTCCATATCATGTCTGGGTGCTGAAAAACAGGTGACTATGTACAGTGTCACTACATTTTTCGCCACCATACATGTGTTTGTGTATACAAATGAACTTCCTTATTTTCAAAACTGTCACATGTTATCAGCTCTAAATTTGCGAGGGGTTTCCTAGATAATATGAAGGGTCAAACTAGAGTTTGGGAAGGAATATAATTATCGGAATAGCATAGAAACATAACTGAATAACATGCATAATCAATAAAAAGAATAATGCTTTTACTGTGATGTCCCTAAAAGGAAATTTTACAAAGCAATCATAGAAATATTGTTACCAGATACATACTGTATGTCAATATTATAAAGATCCATATCCTTGTTTAGACAAAGTGTACACTGTTAAAATGATATTAGATTGTAGCCTGTTACAAAATGTGTATTTCTAGCCATTGTACACGATGAATAAAATTGGCAATACCTGTAGAAAAAGGCATAAAGGGGCAATCAGTGTCACATGAAATGTTTGTCAAATCCCTTTGCTTCCTGTATCATCATATCAAGTTTGAAAGGAATAGAATTAAAAAAGATTTAGCCTTTTCTACACAATGCACATATTTGCCAATAAAAGGGACATAACTCTGCTAAAAATATTGGTAAAATTCTGAAACAAGAACTGGTTTAAGCTATGTTGGTATGAAAAAATTGAATTTTACCTACTTTTGTTTAATTATACCCCAATTTCCCCTACTTTCCAGACTGGCCTTAATGATCTGATCTCTAATGGCCACACCCACATGACCTTGGACGTCAGCCAGGGTCAATATAGACATACAATGTACTGTCAAACTAACATCCTGTGCTAATAATTCTCGCTAACTTTGAATTAAAATATTTCTAATGGAGATTGATAAAACTTTATGCTTATATGTGATTTTCTTATATAAGGTAGAGTAAAATATATCCCCCTCCCCAGGGGGAAAGTGAAACTCTGGGGTCATTAAGTTCACAATTTTGGTAAAGCAAGTCAAGACGGGAGGTGAAGACCTCAAGGGTGGGTGGGCTTTCTACCACCATCTCAAAGATTGTACAAAAGATAAACAGACACACATGTGACTACCACCTTTTTAAAATTTTTAATTGAATAAACTTGTATAGCTTAAATATGAATTTAATTGCATCACACATTCATGAAGTTTGCTACAGTTGTTAAAAAAAAGACGGGACATGAATTCACAGACAGAGACAGACAAATGAATTGATTACCACAGTGATTCCAAAATTGGTCCCCAACAATATATAATACCTACCATGAGAATAATGACAGTAAACACTGTAGCAATAGATGGAAACAGGATCCCATTAAGATAGCCTCCGGCTTATTACTGCCTGGTCCGTCCATCACACCATCATTTTCTGCAATCATGGTCTGGAAAAACCCGCTGGCACCCTCCAGGTGGTTACACAGGGCTGGTAACAGCTTTATTGTCTTGAGAACAATTGTTTTAGGACAATGTTGTTCCAAACGTGAAAATCCTATGTTCTTCGCCACCCTTGTCTGTTAAGATCAAGTACAAAAAAGTTATATTAGAGTGCAAAATGTTTTGTGGGATGTATACATACATAATAACAGAAGTGTTTTACCATCTGTTTTAATCATCAAACTTGAATCCCACCATCAATTTTATAGGAAAAGATTTTCCTAATGTTTGAATGCTATTGCTGTAAAGTCAACTTCACAAACTGCCACAATGTATTGAATCAGTTGTACTAATATCTTTGTGGGCACCCAAGCATGAAACCAAAAACTTCACAGATTCAGTTATCAACTTTACAACTTACTGAGTTCTCCAATCAGTTGTAAATCTATTAAAACTTATTAAATTTAATGGATTTATACCCACAACAATTCCATGTCACATGTTTTATTAGTTCATCAGCCAAATTTTCTTCCTTTTTTTCTTTCTAATTGGTCCAAAAACCAAGTAACACTCCAGAAATACTGAGGACAATTTTTTTTCAGATTGGTCCTAAAATTATAATTCACAACTACAGATAAATGGAAACCTACACAATAAATTTGAGATAGATCCATCCAATACTTCTTAGGACAAACTGATAACAAAATATAGTTGTCAAAAATCCAAGATGGCCACTATTTCGCCATTTATTTTCCCTTTGATCAGTCATAAAATGAAAACAAAGAATTGATGATGGTGGGTTTAAAGGACAATGGATGCTGTGTCATTTTACAATCTCCCAAGTAATACTTTTACAGACTAAGAAAGCTCGAATATGTATTCAGGTGACATTACATTGTGAAAAATCTAAATTGACATATGATTATAAAACATATAGGTTGCATTTTGACCTGACCTTGAAAAACGACCTCCGTGTAGATGTAGAGGAAATCAGAATGTGGTTTAGTTTACTGGTAAGATCCTCCAACAGAAACTCAAGCTGTCTTGGCTGGATCAACAGCTCTGTGGTTGCCTTGAAAGTCAAAGTATATCATAAAACATATAAGTAAATTCCCATCACAACAGACCCATTAAGGGTCTGAATCAGTCAGTTGGATATTTCAACATTGTATCTAACAATCATATTTTATGCACTTCCGAAAAGATCCCAGAGGGACTTTGGTTCCCACTTTGTATGACATTTTTGGCTCTCTATATAAGATAAATCTTTTCTCTTCTTTTTCCTTTATTGCTCTTTATCCCCATTGTATCTGCCATTTTGTATTTTCCTGTGAGTCCCAAAGTTGAGCATACAAAACCAGTGACCAACAAAATTTCAAAATTTAAGAAAAGTGTGTTCTACACTTTTAAAGAAATAGCAATTGCAAACTTAAACTGTCTAAATCACAGCTTGTTGGCCATTTTGTTTTTACTGATCTGTCCCCAAAACGAGTATCAGTGTAAATGATGAATGCTCCCTGAAAACGACTTTATTGGACACAAAATTTTAACAAAGGGCAATAAGTTTGGTACTAAGGGATTGTCCTACCTTAAATGCAAGCAAAGTTATACTCTAGAAAATATATTTTTAACAAAAGTGCAATAACTCTGTAATTGAGGGGTCAAGGGCCCTAAATTCAGTACACAACACATTGTCTTAGTATCATCAATGTACTGTATACACAAAGTTTCATGATCCTTGCTTAACCATCGATAAAGTTATGCTTCAGACATGAAATTAACAAAGGGTAATAACTCTGTAATTAAGGGGTTGTGGGCCCTAACATTGGTTCTCCTTAACCTTAGTATACTTCAAATGAAACTTTTGACAACTTCCTGTCATTGCTGCAGTAAAATTTTGATGAATTTGCAAAATTTCCACTATTAGGCCCCACCCATTTGGTCTACTGGGATCATAAATGCATTGTATAGATTTGTTTCCTTTTCCCCCCATGGATGCTTCTAACCAAAATAAATTCAGTTTTGTCTTGTATGACTAGTAACAACCTCAAAGTTTCCAGAAGAAATAAGATAGACGGGTGAAAACTTACACCCTTGCCATCAGCTCAATTTGCCTAACATGAAAATTGAGCTAAATTCAACTGGTAGAACTTAACAAGAAGTTTACAAAGCCTAAAACCTAATACCACAATACAGATGTTTCCAGTACAGTAAAAAATCAGACAAAATCAGTTAACATTTCTTTTATATCCTCAGACTTACCTTGGTGTTAAGATCTGTGTCCAATGCTTTGTCCATGACTGTTCCTGTATGTAAAATGGTGAAAACGCTGATGTCAAACTCCCTAAAAAACAGACACACACAGGAGTCAGAGACAGCCACACTGAAACATGTTTTGGTAGTATTCATATTGAAGAACAAGAATTTCCATGAGGTTTTATCATTAACTTTTATCCTTTCATACTTGTAATTAATTGAAATGTTCTTTAAAATGTCATAGTTTTGCTTTACATGATTGTGCAGGTGTAATTAGGAAGTTTAGGGTCCTCCAATTTTTTAAACAAGAGGTTCATAGTCTTTAACAGTCAACTGAGTTGAATTTTTGCTTGGAACAACTGCACAAACTTAACAAAACTGCTTTATCCAATATCAAGCATCAAATTTAAGCCTGCTGAGTACTGTTTGTAGCAAGTGTGGATTTAAAGAACATTACAGAAATTTGAACAAAACACTGAACCTCCTTGACAACAAAATTCCAAGCTGTTTTGTAATTCCAATCAAAAATTAATACAAATCAAGGTCATGGCATATTTCATTCTCGTCACAGTATGAAGGTATCTGCAATTTATTTGAACAAACATGATACCTCTTACCTGAAGAGGGACCTAGAAACCTTACCTGAGAAAAGGTCTGTATTTACTGAAACTGACAACTGCTTGATCAGACTGTTCTGTTCCATCATCCACCTGTGTGTCGGCCATTGTCTACAAAAAGTTTTACTCAATGTGAATGTAAATATTTTCCAGTAGTTTATTTGCTCAATACAAAAAAGACCATTTAAGTGTATCCCGAGAGGGAAAACACTGATGTGGTGATTTCAAGAAAGAGAAAACTTAACCAATAACACAAAGGGAGAGAAAACTAACCAAGTCATCGACAGGGAGAGAAGACTGACCAAGTCATTGACAGGGAGAGAAAACTGACCAAGTCATTGACAGGGAGAGAAAACTGACCAAGTCATTGACAGGGAGAGAAAACTGACCAAGTCATTGACAGGGAGAGAAAACTGACCAAGTCATTGACAGGGAGAGAAAACTGACCAAGTCATTGACAGGGAGAGAAAACTGACCAAGTCATTGACAGGGAGAGAAAACTGACCAAGTCATTGACAGGGAGAGAAGACTGACCAAGTCATTGACAGGGAGAGAAAACTGACCAAGTCATTGACAGGAAAAGAAAGTCATTGAAAGGCCCTGAATCTTTTGACTTTAGAGTGACTTACTTTGCTTAGGACTGAAGCATTCTTACTGTTATCATCACTCTCCTCTTCTGGTGAATTTTCTTTGTCAGCCTTTTTCCTGGAAATCAATGACAGAACATATTTTATAATCTAAATTAACATGACACCTAATGGGCCTGAGTTTTGCTAAGCCAATTCCCTGCATGTGACTATAAAAATATTTTGACTCAGAGACTATTTGTTATTGAATGTTAACTTCTTATCACAATTAACTCTGTGACCTTTAGAGTGAGTCAAGGTCATCGTTTGAGCAAACTTTGTTGCTTTCCATCCCAGTATGCTATTGGCCCGGTACCTGAACCCTGAGCCTTTCAATTACTGAGAAGTTGTTTAAAGATTTTAAATATTTGACCTCTGTGACCTTGAAAGTAAAGAGGGAAAAGTTGACCCTGGATGGACAGATACTATGCCACAGCAGGTGAGCTAAAGACTGAGGGAGGTAATATTTGGACATGGTAACAAGAAATCTGAGAGAATTGTGCTATCCATCATTATTGATTTGAGCAAGACTGACCTTTCCCTCTACTTTCCTCATTTTCTATTAATCACTTGATAACAAAGACATCCTTCATGTAAGAAAGACCTAACATGAACTTTGTGAGAAAGAGCAATATCAATCTTCCAAGTTCAAATTCAAAGATCATAATCTCTGGTAGCCATTTTGTCTTCTGAAGCAAAGGAACAATGTTGTTGTATAAAGTTTCTGTTATTTTGTTTGTTGTGGGCTTGGGTTATCACTAAGTGGCGCAGATCCTGATGGTCTGTGTCTGAATGACTTTCTTTATGTCTTCTTGGGGTTGGTGTCAGTGGTGAATTTATCTAAGCTTTTGGTAAGTTCTGTTATTGCAAATGTCCTACCAGTCATATACTATAGTGCAGTAATGGGGTATGGTGAATCCAAAAGGATGCAGGGGATCTCTGACAGGTGAAAGGAACAAACAATATACAAAACTGAGTCCCATTTACTGAAGATGCTTCAGACCAAACATTGACAATATCCTTGTATGAAAGAAGGATGGCACTCCACACCTCTGGCCTCTGAGGAGGGTCACGCTTCTTGGTTTTACCAAATTGGGTTTGTTTTAATCAGGTATGTTTTAGACCAAATTAGAACAGAAACATTTCCAAGAAAGAAGAAAGATTGTAAAGGAGATCCTCTATTTCCCTTTTTGGCCCCTCCCCTCAGGCCCCTAGGACCCAAGACCTATTGTTTATACAATAATAATTTCCCTTCACAAAACGATGCTTCAGATACAATGGGACAGGACCTTGTCTTTCCTACAGAAGACCCATGGGCCTGAGAACAAAGGTTTATACAATACTGAATTCTCTTCACCCAAAGATGCATCAGATCAAACTGGAACAGAATTCAGGAATTCCTACAGAGGAGGATGGATTTTCAAGAATTTCCTTTATTTCCCCTGTAAGTTCTACACATCCTGCTGAAAGTGGCCGAGACACACTGTTTATACAAAATTGATTCTTCTTCACCGATTACAAATATTAAGCCTAAATTTTGACAAAATCTAATCATTCCTACAGGAAAAGAGGGATTTTAAAGAACTTGCGAATTCAACTTTAACCCAGTTATCTGCTTAAAGCAGTCAAAGTCATGGTATCCTGTAGGTATAGTATTTCAAATATGTTTGACTGCACTTGTGTAAAACACGTATATGAGGTGTAACTATAGATCGAGGAATGCAGCCTTGCCTTGCAATGGCAACACAACAGTACACTTTTTACACACGCACGCACGCACACACATATGTAAATACAATAAGCACTGTATGCACAATATATATATATGCAAGCGTGGCATGAGGCTGAACAAATACTAACAAGATGTCTTACTTTTTGCCTGTTTTCTTGCCCTTCTTCTTGTTTTTACTCACTACATTAGCAGTCTGTAGAGTTGGAGCAGGACATTCACAAAAGTCAAAATTGGCAGGCTGAGGTTTGAAATTTGGTGTGGCTACAAGAAAGTATTACAAATTCTGGGTGTTATTTGTCAAGTATATCAATTTAGTCCTTGAATAAAGTTACAGGAAGAACAATGCATGCTGAGAAGATCAGTACAATCACCTACACAGTAGATATTAATCACATAAAGCTTATAATTAGGTATTATGTTTCGGGAGTACCAATAGATCCACTATTCTAATCTAAGGGCATATAGATTGATACTCTTTACATATACAGAATTTAGACAAATTGTCTCACAAACATATCTGGTATACTTATGTTAAAACATTCTTCTCAATCATACAATAACTGGGTCACCTGAAGTTAATCTGTCATAAAAATTAGAATATGTTACCTTGCTATTAAACAACCATATGAGAGACAAAAAAATTTCTGTTTCACCATGTAAACACACAAAATTAACAAGAAAAATCAACATGATTTAAAGTCAAACATTTTAAACATAACATTATTGAGATATATACCTGCCAAGCATTTCTCAAGCAAGTCTTGTAGTTCTGTAATGTTCTGAACTCTTTTGATGACCTTGCCTTTCATTTCAAGGTCGTCCTGGGAGGCAAAGGCATTGATAATTTCTTTGAACCAGTTGAGGCCAGTGAACAGAGCTGAACAAACAATCTCTTTCTCTCTGTGTGATAAACTCGTAATTTTCTCAAAAGTCTCAGGGGATGGCAGCAATAGTGGGCAACCTGGCATGTAAGACAAGAGGCCCAGAGGGCATGTATCACTCCAATGGATATTAGTGTAAAGAATGCCAAAATAATCATTATGTGGAAAACAGTCTTTGTAGAAAGTTCAAAATGTACATTACAAATAAAATCAATTTTAACCTTGACAAATGATCATCAAAATCTAATCAGGTGTAAAACAAGATGTTGTGATACCATGTAGTAAATATGGACTTTAGCTTGTTTGCTTCAAAGAGACGAGAAACTTTTAACCTCCTTCCCCTCCGCCTACTCCCAACACCACCATTACTTCTGTTTCACCAGTAGGGGATGTATGTCACTTTATTCTGGACTTCACTGTGAAACCTGATGTGTGTTGTACTGTAAGTCAAAACCACTAACCCAGAAGTGCATCAATGTTGGCAAGATCTCCCTGTTGCATTTCTTCACAGATCCGCAGTAGACGGAAATGAGACGATAGACACACAGGATCTGGAGATCTTCTGTAATGATACATATAAGATATATGAATTGTACAGTCTTGTAAACAGTCTCCTCTGAAAAGTTGGTGACCTCCTCCCATCTTATACAAAAAGCTGTACAACTCATTTCGTCAGGTTTGGTCACAGATTTTGAAGACTTACATCTGTTCCCTTATTATGCCCAAGGGAGACCTTTGGTTTTTACAAATTTGAATCTATTCTACAAAATCATGCTTAGGAATGAATTTGGTCGAAATGCCCTATAATATAAAGTTTGCATAATTTATATAGATTTACATGTAATATAGTATAAAGTTTATATAGTTTTAGTATAATATACAGTTTAAATAGCTTTAGTATAGTATAAAGGTTACATTGTTGATATAGTTTTAGTACAGTATAAAGGTTACATTGTTGATATAGTTTTAGTACAGTATAAAGGTTACATTGTTGATATAGTTTTAGTACAGTATAAAGTTTACATTGTTGATATAGTTTTAGTACAGTATAAAGTTTACATTGTTGATATAGTTTGAGAACAGTATAAAGTTTACATTGTTGATATAGTTTGAGTATAGTATAAATGTTACCCATTTTCATTCCTTTGCGGCTGCTGTTTTTTCCTGTCCTGTATACTCCTTTCCACCAGTGGGATGATATTGATAGCAATGGATCCCTCCACATCATCATCTAGACTGTATTTCATCTCAAATGGAACCACAAACTTGCTGTGAAGAAATACAACTAATCTTTCTTCTTTGCATCAACCAGTACATGTGCAACAAGTAGCTAGTAGGCACTGTGTATTTCAGCTTTCACATAAAAATATTTTCATTCATATCTAATAACATTAATTTTTCTCTAAAGGATAGAAGATATTCAAAGCTACAAACTAAATTCTGGCAAAATTCCTTTAATCATGAAGACACTGGGCAAACAAAAGGTCAATAGGGACTGTATTGCTCACCTGATTTTGATTTGTTCACTTTGCTTTCTCCAAACTAAAGGAAAAGAAAGTCTAAAGGTTTGTATCTATTTCTGCCATGGCCCCACCCTCTTGTTCCACATGGCCAGCAGAATGATAAGATCATCTCTATTTCCCCTATTTAGCCTTGCAATTTCAGCCCCATGGAACTAAGATCACCCCTAAAGACAAGATTTATTTCCTTTCATCCAAGGATGTTTCATAACCACATAGGGACAGAATCCTGATACTCCTTCAGAAGAAGGATTTTAAAGATTTTTTTATCTACTTTGTCTTTTGCACTCTGCCCTTTCTACCCAAGGGGCCGAGTCCACTGTTTTTACAAACGTTAGTCCACTCTAGACTCAAGGATATTGCAGATCAAATCTGGACAGAATTCAGGCATTGCTACTGAAGAAGGAGTTTGAAAAATTTGATCTATTTTCCCTATTATTGGGCCCAACCTCTCTTGCCCCAAAAGTTGAGTCCCCATTCACCAAAGGATACTGCAGACAAAATTCCCGAAGAAATTTTTTTCATTATTTGCTAAATTTCCCCTCTCTAGTCCTGCCCCATGAGGTCACACCCACCATTTATACCAAATTGAGCCAGAAGCATTCGTTAGGTAATTCGGACTCAATTTGGTATGAATGGTGGGTGTGAACCCGTGGGACCTGAAGGACAGGACCAGAAAGGGCAAATTCAGCAAATAATGAAAAAAAATTGAGTAATTCATAAACTTCTTGAATGCTACCATCTCTCCTCTAGTTGTAAGTTTATACCTTGGGAATTTAACTCAGTGGAAATTGAAGTCAGCATTGTAATTCAGACAGCTATAGGTATAAATGGATGTCAGGTCAAAGATTAGGTTTTGTATATACTATAGACAAGGCCTGTTATTATCACAGGTTGCTGTATGATATCTGTCCTAAATGTCAAAGTTTTACTTAAAAATTGTAATTCATCATTTCTTGTCCATCACACTACAGCTCAAGTACCCAATATGCCTGAGTAATTCCACAAAATGAATTGAGTTAATATATAACACAAACTGGTTCCCTCTCACTCATGTTACCAACCTACTTACCATTTATCTGGTACTTCCTCAATGTCAACCACATAATCGTCCTGGAAGTCTGTGATAACATTGTCACTAATCCATGCCTGTAAAGATATTTAACACAATATTGAAGTACAGTGTAATGACAGCATTTTATTTCTAAAGCTATACACATAACATGCAAAAGGCCCATGAGGCCTATATCACTCACCTAAATATTTAAACTTTCACTCACTCTATTATTGTTATATTTTACCAACAAGATAAGGAATTATAAAGCTTATAAAGTTTATACCAAAATGATTTCCATTCACACAAGGATGCTTCCATGGCAATCACGCTTGTTTGCCCAGACCTAGGCATGCAAGGAATCTACTGTGGGAAGAATCAAGAGTGCTTGGGAGAAACCCAACTGGTCTAGCAAGTGACCCCTGACCTTTCTGATGTCTGTTCATCAATTGGCACCCCCAACAACTTGGTGATACGCGAGCGTGTTATCACTGCGTCTGACCACCTGATTATTTCTTAAGTGGATCAAGTACAAACAGAGACCAATGCAATAGCTAAAACAAGAACCATTCAAGGACAGACAGACGGACGAAAGACACCATGCCATCAGCTCATTAAGTCATGTGGGTCAGGTGAGATACACAGGGTAATCTTTAGTGTTTTCCTGTTGACACCAAACTTAAACAGGTGTAGAACATGATTTTGTGATGCCATGGTATGAACATGAACTAAATGAGGTGAGGGTATGATAAATGGAATGTCACAATAACAGATATAACATTAATTATGTTTATTTTACTATCTTTATTTTTTGATAACAAATTACTTTACCTCAATTTTAGAATCAATGTGGCCACCGTGAATGATAGCTGCTAGCTCATCCATGAAGAGAGATGCCACCTCAGGCATGCGGCTGCTTGATGTCTTAACTAACTGTAGGAGACTGATCACTTGTTTGTAGAGATCATCAGTCAGAGGCACAGACTCAAGTTGAAGACTGGCTGGGTTTGTTCTGCAATAACAACATATGGCCTCTAGTGCTCATCTGCTTTGGTTTGGCTGAAATTGCTTTAATAAAACTGAAGTAAAATAGTTTTAAAAATTCATATTTACTTTACCTATTTGCTCTTCTGCCTCTATATGCTAAGATCCATTTTTATACAAAATTATGTCCCCGTTCAACTGAAAGTGCTTCACATAATTTAGACAAAATCCTATTATTTCTACAGAAAAGAAGCATTTTTTCCCCATGATTCCTCTGCCCATTTCCCCCTTCTCAGTGCAGGAGAGCTAAAAATGTGAAATGTGAAGAAGTTCCAAATGTGTTTTTTCAAGTTTTCAAGATGGGGGATATGGAGGCCATATTGAAATTTGCAGCCACTTGAAGAAAAGATTTGGTCATGACTTTCTCATGATCATTTCAGGTAAGTTTAAGCTGAGTAACACTCATGGAACTGCAGACATTTAAAAGCTGAATTGTTTCATGGATGAAGACAATTTTGCTAAATTATCTGTCAAAACTCATGGAAAATTTGAAGTCAAAACACTGAATTCAAGGGCTTTTCAAGGATGTATTTATACTTCAATTAATCATGTACTTTTTGTTTCTTTATGCAGGATACAGTAGATAGAGCTGAACCTACTAAGACAGAAGCCTGATGACAGCACACATTATTGAATCCCTTCAAACTAAAATATGAAAAGATAAAAATAATTTCGGCTAAAATTCCTGAACTGAACGCTTTTCAAACATCATACAGCCAATTCTGATGTTCAATTACTTTTTCCTGTAGAGTAAGCAGGGTAATCAGACAAGACACAAACCTTTTACAGGTGATGCTCCTGATGATCATGATTGCCCCTATCACTCCCATCCTCTTGTACCTGTACATAGATAACACATATATAGGTTACTATCACATTGCCCCTATCACTCCCATCCCCTTGTACCTGTACATAGATAACACATATATAGGTTACTATCACATTGCCCCTATCACTCCCATCCCCTTGTACCTGTACATAGATAACACATATATAGGTTACTATCACATTGCCCCTATCACTCCCATCCTCTTGTACCTGTACATAGATAACACATATATAGGTTACTATCACATTGCCCCTATCACTCCCATCCCCTTGTACCTGTACATAAATAACACATATATAGGTTACTATCACATTGCCCCTATCACTCCCATCCTCTTGTACCTGTACATAGATAACACATATATAGGTTACTATCACATTGCCCCTATCACTCCCATCCTCTAGTATCTGTTCACAGATAACACATATATAGGTTACTATCACATTTCCCCTATCACTCCCATCCCCTTGTACCTGTACATAGATAACACATATATAGGTTACTATCACATTGCCTCTATCACTCCCATCCCCTTGTACCTGTACATAGATAACACATATATAGGTTACTATCACATAAACTTATCACTGACTGATCATAATCACCTTTGCAGCAAAATATTAGTGATGAAACAGTCAGATTTCCTTGAGTTGCATGGTGTAAATAGGAAGATGTCCATGCATACTGATAAAGAACAAAGAATCAACAGAATTTGATCCCTCACAACATTGCCACATTTACAGAAACCATGCTCTTTTATACTTACTTTGGAATATTACTGGAAAGCTGCTTCCTGATCAAAATATGAAGGTCATCCTGAAATAATTAGACATTTATATAGGCACAGTGTGAAGAAATAACAAGGGGCCAACAGACCTAAATTTTCTCTAGAGAGTTCACTTCTAGAGGGATGTAACATCATAATCCCAAAGAAAATGGCCTCAGAATAGTCTGTGGATCAAGAAATCACGTAAAATTGTCATCACTGCTTTTCAAAATGGCATGCTTTTCCATTCCATGGCAAAGGTCAATAGAATAGAACAAAAATCAAATTTTATAAAAATTTTGATCAATATTTAGCCCCGCCCCTCAGACCCTGGGGGGCAGAGAAAAATGTATTCCTCTTCACCCAAAGATGCTTCAGACCTCTACTTCCTTTATTGGGCCTCTGCCTTTTGTCCCAAGAGGCATTACACCTACCACTTACAGAAAGTTCAGTCCCCTTCACCCAAAGATGCTTCAGACCTCTACTTCCTTTATTGGGCCTCTGCCTTTTGTCCCAAGAGGCATTACACCTACCACTTACAGAAAGTTCAGTCCCCTTCACCCAATGATGCTTCAGATATACTTCTACCCACACTCATTCAGTTGAGTGGTCCATGAGATATTTGAGTCCCATTGTCAAAAAAGCTTGCAACTACATATGTACAGCGAATTTATGAAAGTACTGTCTCTAGCTTTCGGACAAGGTGAGCTAAAAACATGTTCTATACCGTATTCCCAAGCCCTAAAAATAACGAAAATATGTAGCAACTCTGCACATTTTGAACAATTTTTTTATCAATTGTATCAACCGTGATGGATTAAGCTATTACTAGTATAAGGATAGGCAGATTACAGTATGGACACAGCAATATAAAAATAATGTTATAGAATGTAAATCAACACAGTAGTTATCTCATATATGGCAGAGTCGTTTTACCAAATAGTAACTATTTATAGAAATGTTGTGCCCATAATTTTCATACTTTAGGGGATAGAAATTGAGGTAGATTTTACCTGATGAAGTCTGATAAGGGTGAACATGTAGACGAAGATCATAATAAATTGTAGAAATACACTCAGGAGCTTGTGTACTTGCTAACATGGTATTTATTTTATGAAATATATAAGCTGCTATTATAAATAACAATGAACAATCATGTCATATTTACAGTAAGCTTACACATAATCACATTTGTAAGTGACAATACATGTCATCTGATATTTTGTCACAGAATTCATTTGTAAGAATTAATATTTTCTCCTACCTGTATGAGTCCCCCTTCTGAAGAATTCCTGAATGCCAACATACTCAGCATGGAATAGAGTTTGCGTATCTGTATCACAGAGAGGTTGTCTAAGTAATCCAGAACACCCTGTAAACAGACATCCAGATAACAGCGTCATCATGAATAAGTGCCCAGCAATACAAGGTAACAATAGTACAATGCAGAATATTTCAGTTTTATTCCAGGATCGTACAGGCCACTGCAAACAAGTCCTCACTTGCTATTTTGAAAATACAAACGAACTCACATTTCAATGCCTAAATCTACTGAAATATTAAATGAGTGCAAACCAGGAAGGAAGCATTATAGAATGATAAAATGACAAAACAACATTCATATATAACCTGTATCGCTCGCATGCGGGGCCCCACCCACTGGCGCAAACCAAACATTTATACAATAAGAGGTGACCACCATTGTTTGGTCTTAATTTGTTTTTTTAAAAGTTTAATCTTTTCCCTTCTTTTGAATTATTTCCTTTGTTCTTGCTCTTAATTGTAAGAAATTTGATCTAAAAGGAAGATGGCCATCTGTCAGCCATTTTGAATTTTGTTCAGTCTAAAACTCAAAAAGGCACAATTAAAGACCAAGGAAAGCCTGCATATAAAACTTGAAAAAAGATCCATAGGATGCTTCTCAAGAAATAGAAAAAAAATCTTTCTTTTTAAAAAACTAAGGATCGCAGCCTGTCAGCCATTTTGTTCATCCCAAAATCAAACAGGCAAAACCGAGGGGCACTTGCATGTAAAATCTGAGAAAAATCTATACAAGGCTTCTCAAGAAAAAGCTACATCAATGATTGTTTACAGACGGAGGCATGACATGTCAGGGACTATAGTTGTAAAAGTGATTTGAATAGCCAAGTCTCTGTTGATGGTGGGTTAAAATCAACAACACATTATCAATTCCTTTCCTTAACACACCCACCAATTGTGATGAAAGCTGCAATATGAAAAATGTTGACAATAAATGTCAACGCCATGTCAGATTGGTGATATTTGAATAAATTCATGATGATTTTCACATCTTATACAACCTCCACAAACTTTGGTGATTCACGATAATTGATATTTGTCTGAATAGTTAAGTTTCTGCTAATTATTAATCTAAATAACATGAATTGGAAAAAAAATTCTTTTTACAATTGAATGGAAAGAAACATACCTTGACAAATATTGCAAAAGGTGCCATCATTGAGAGATGTGTATCGACAAGTTCAGCCAAAATGTCAAGCGAAGAGTCGATCTCACCTTCAAACCCGATTCCAATGTGAGTCACCAGGTTTCCTACAATTTCCTGGAAACATTCAAACCCATTACAAATTTATTTCACTAGATTGCACAATATGTCTGGCCTATTAAAGTCCTGTCATCTTACCCTGAACACAACTCACTTCACTCTTCAAACATAAAAGCAGGTGGAGTGTTAATGTTCGTTTCTTTTGTCTATGTACTAGAATGCATGAACTCTGGTAAATAAAACTAAGTATGGACACAACATGTATCACATGACTGAATCCCATTTCAGATATAGTCACATGACTCTCATAAGCAAAATGGCGGCTTATATAAAGCTATTGGTTGCCGATATAGGAGTTTTCCAGAGTCCATGTCTCTAACAGCTCATCATTTGTAAATGTAAAGTCATTTCTAGATCAATATTCGCGAAATAATGTATACTGTGTTAAATATGTCACCCTCAATAAAAACATTTTTTTTCCTTTTGGTTATTATTATTATACAAAATTTATTCTACTGAACCAAAGAATGCTGGAGATCAAATATGATCAAAATCTTATCATTGCTATAAAGGAAGAAGGATCTTGAGGTATTTGTTAAATTTCTCTTTTTGGTCAAAAACTTGCTCTGTCATTCATGGCTAGAAGGACAGAGGACAGAGGGAAAATGGATGCTGCATGCTTTGAAGGTGAGCTAAAAAAAAATTTACAAGCAGAGGTCAATCAGTACAGATGGACAAATGGACAGAAGGATTAACTATGGATGCAGGGCATTCTGAAAAAGCCCACTGTCTGATTGTGGTGGGCTAAATATTCAAACCAATTTGTAGCCATTTCTAACATGGGTGACCAGGTAAGATAAACAATTTCTTAGTCATGCCTTAAGTATTCCAAATGAATACTGTATTCTTTATGGGGCAAGTAGAAATTATTCTAATGGTAAATGGATTTTCACTTGCTTTGAAAACAATTGGCACACCCTTGCTTTATGGTGGAGTAAACACCGTGAAAATCCTACCTGCTGAAAGAAGGAGTCAAATGCTGTGAATGCTTGCTTGTACATAACACAAGCAAAATACATGACTGCAGGTTCTGGAGACCGCAGCAGAATCTCTGCAAGTGACAAGAAGGACGGAAAGTAGTCCCGCATTACCTGAAATATAATGAAAACTCTACGAATCAGTAGTTAATTCATTCAACAGAATATCAATGATCCTACAACTATGTCAACCTGAAATTTGTATTTAGTTTCATTAACAATTTAATATATAGTATGTATTCCTGTGACTGCAAAATATTTACATATCCTTTTAGGTCACCCTTTAAGCCTAAAATGTTTACATATTATTGTAGGTCTTCTACTTTTGTTTTTCTTCTATGACCAGCAGTTCACAAAATCAACCTTATGACATAAGCAATGAAAGTAGAGAGAGATGGGAAATTCCATAAATAAGGTCCCAATGCCTGTACTAACACTAACAAATGCCCAATAGGGCCTGTATCGCTCACAAGGTTTTTGTTTGCTGAAATTGCTTCATGTAAACCAAATGATATTTTAAATGTTTTAGCTATATTTAACCAGAAAAGGCATTTTATTTCTAATAATATCTCATTTTCTGCATAACAGTACACTTAACAATATCCCATAAATCTTCATTCTTGTGCATCCTTTCAGCCTAACTTGGAACTGGTATGTTCTTATTGCCATGATTTTCACAACACCATTAGGATTTTAGTACAGATGAATGACTTGGTTGATTACACTACGTACATCAGTGCTAGTACGCTTCACACTTTGTCTGATGAAGGTGACTGTGTAGTCATCAAGATGTCACACTCAAATCTTCTACTGGTTGTGTAACAAGAACTTTTATTTAACTGACATTACAAATCTGAAGAAAATGTTCTGAATTTAAGCTTATGTTTCACATATTACCTGTGAGTGGGCCTTAAATGCTGCCTTTACCAACACCTCAGTGAAGCCACCAGCCCGAATCTTGTTACGGAAAAGACTCACTACAGCCTTCTTACGATTGGTGGTGTGCAGTATGAGAAGAACAAAAATGTCAATCACTTTGTGGTCACCTGGCTGTTTTACCCCATCAATCACCTGACAAAAAAAGGATGCTCATGGGGTTTTATGTTCATTGAACAATGAAGAATTCAAAATCTTGGTACAGTGATGGAGAATGCATAGACTGGTTGCCTTGGTTAATTCCATGGAAAACCTATGGAAATAATCTGTCTTCAATTTTTCTTTTTCTTTGTTACTTCCATGGAAAACCTAAATAGAAATACATCTGGTGAATGCAAATTTTCCAATTCTTTGCAAACTCAAAAGGATGGAAATTACATGGAAATAGACATATACATCTGGTGAATGCAAATGCAAACCAATGCAAACGTACACTAACATTAAAGCAAACAGTCAAAAGGGAGGCAGAAATGCAAACAAATAAAATCAAAATGCAAATGAACCAAACCAAAGAAACGCTTACATAACTAAAAGGCATATGTATGAATGTTAAACATTTCAGGGTCTATACTTATGACAGATGGAAGATTTTCTAAGCCTATCACCACTAGTAATGGGGAATGTTAAACATTTCAGGGTCTATACTTATGACAGATGGAAGATTTTCTACGCCTATCACCACTAATAATGGGGAATGTTAAACATTTCAGGGTCTATACTTGTGACCGATGGAAGATTTGCTAAGCCTATCACCACCAGTAAAATTCACTGTATCTTTCTGTATCTATTAAAACATTGTCACCTTTATCCAAGCTTCTGCTACATTTTTCTGGAAGTGTATTCCTGATTTGATGGCATCCAAGGTTAGCAGCTCTGAGCCTCTGGCACTCTCTATCTCAGACTCTGATCCCCTGTCATCAACACAACATGTTTTGTAAAACTGTCCTTTCTATAGTCAACGTAACAGGAAAATAAGAACATAAAAATTTTTTTTTTCTTTAGTAGGATCTGTGTATCAAATCAATAAATATATGATAGTAAGATCTATGTATGAAGGAACGTATGACTTTTAACACAGAACTTATAATCGCACCTATCATAGTTGCAAAAAAAAAAGAGTGCATTTTATCCTGATAATAACTTAATATCTATAGATACCTCTTGCCTCCATTGGCTGTAAATGGTGTGGAAGTGATCTTGGGGTTGAAACTGGAGTTGAAGTCAAGATTGGTACGAATTTCTTTCACAATCTGAAAATATCACAAAGAGATGTTTCTCACCAAATTCAGTCAAAATTTAATCAGACGTTCATGACAGATGGAAAGATGCCATAACCTGGACACCCATGGTATGATACAAGCTCACCAGTGCTTCAGACAAGCTGAATTAAAAATTTAAATCCTCTTATCAAAGAATGTCCTAGTCTAAATTGGGACATAATCCTGACATCCATGCAGAACAAGATGGATTTTAAAGAATCAGCTCTATTTCACCCATTGGGCCTTGCCCATCCTGCTCCAGAGGGTTGAAATCCACCTCTTACACAGAAATTATTCCCCTTCATTCAAGGATGCTTTAGACAAAATTGGTACAGAATCCAAGCATTCCTAGAGAGGAAGAGTTTTGAAGGGTTTGCTCTATTTCCCATATTGGAATATTCCACTACTGCCCCCAGACCAATCTTTAACACAAAATTTATTTGTTTTACCCAGGGATGCATCAGAAGAAATTGGGCCAAATTAAAAAAGAACAAAATTGAATTGATTCCCTTTCCTCTAGACATGCTTCAGACAATATTGGGCCAAATTCCTAGCATTCCTACAGGAAATGGATTACTAAGAATTTGCCATATTTCCCCATTGGTCCCTGCCATTCCAGCCCCAGGAAGCCAAGACCCATCTTCTATATAAAATTGATTCTACTTCCAAAAATGTTTCAAATGAAATTTGGACATAATCCAGGCATTTCTACAGAAGAAGGACTTCATAGAACTTGCTCTACCTGATATTTTATGTTTTGGCCCTGCCCTTCTCCTTTTAGGAGCCAAGACCCAATATGCTTCACACCATATTGGGACAGAATCCCAGCATTCCTGAAAAGCAAGGATGTTACAAAATTTCCTCAGTTACCTCTATTGGGCCCTGCCCTTCCCATCCCAGATGGAAAGATGCCAGAACCTGGACACCCATGGTATGATACAAGCTCACCAGTGCTTCGGACCAGCTGAATTAAAGTTTTAAATCCTCTCATAAAAGAATGTCCTTGGGCATAATCCTGCCCTATTTCCCTATTTGCCCTTCCCATCCCAGGGGGCTGAAACCCACTGTTTACATAGAATTGATTCCACTTCACCACATGGTGCTTTGGATTGAATCAGACATTCCTTCAGAAGGATTTAAAGCATTTGCTCTATTTCCTAAATTTGGTCCCACTCCTCTCAACCCAGTAGACTGAGGCTACCAATAATACAAAGCCGGTTTCTCTTCACCAAAGGATGCTTTAGACCAAATTCGGGATTCCTACAAAAGAAGAAGGATTTTAAAGTAGTACTTTTATATCCCCTATTTGGCCCCCGGCACGGCAGCATAAGGGCATACATTTGCCCGGTCCTCAAAAAGTTGACGGACAGATGGATGGCACATGCCATAAGTTCGCTCATTTGGCCCAGTATTTTAGCTAATCAGATTTCCATGTCATCAGTGATGTATTTGAAAGCAAACTGAGTACAAAAAATATTCATTAAATAAACTACAGTATTTTGATTACTTTCAAATCACTGAGTCTTTTACATGCAAATATAGGATACGTGCTCGTCATGCAGAATCACTTGATTCTAAAAATAAGAAGCGTTCCATGTCATCTTAAGGAAATATCTTGGCAATCAAATTGCATCAAACACACATAGATATGTTTTATGTAATTTATATCACATTCAGAAAGAATGGGTTATCAAGTATGTTTAAATTCCATATCACTGTGATATCTAACAGACATTTTAACTAATCATTCATAATACTGAACTCTAACTTTCATATACAATTATTTATAAAAACAAAACATGTTTAGATGATGAGAGATGTTTATATGTGTTTATATTCACAGTAAAAGTGATATTAACATTCTGAAAACAACCCAGAGCACTTTACTGATGACGTCATTGTAATTGAGAGAGACAGGTTAAGATCGAGGTTCAGGCAGTCAGGAAAACATCTGATCCAGAAAACTTAAGCCGAGTACGAAGGTATTTAAATTATTAAGGGTCTATTATATGTATCTATATACCTCAACAGTGTCCTGATTGTTGACCGACTCAAAAAGGAACTTGATAACGACTGGTAAATCTTCCATCTTTACTGATGCCAACGTCAGCAGCAGTGATCCTCTCACCTGTAACATCAGAAGACTTTGTTTAGCTGTAATTACACTATGTTTATCTTGTTCTTTATACATTTTCCCTTTCTTTTCACTTCTTTCTTCTTATTTTCTCTCAATCACATGTTGCATTGATGAGTATATCAATTACATGTTAGAATCAGTAAACAAGACATCTCTGAGGGACTTTGTCATCATACATATAAACATACAATTTTTATAGATTTTATATAAGTTGGATCTTTTCTCATCTTCTTTCGTTTTCAGCAAATTTGAGAATGATCCATCCAGAATTCTCATATATATACATAACCTAGTTCTATGGACACTGCATAATTAAGGGCAATAGCATGAGATTTGAGAATGATTCATCCAGTACTTCTCAAACAAGAGGCCATAGGACCTTCATGCATTTTTATGCATTTTATCCAATTTTATAAAAAATGACATTTTTATTGCTATGATTGTCATAAAAGTTGTTAACAAAGAAAGATAACTCTAACAAGTTATGCTGATGCTCCTCAATAAAATACAGTAACCTTCTGAGATCCAGGGGTCCTTAATCTACAACTTCTATAAAATACCATAATGTTCCTCCATCTATCAAGAGCATTTGAATCTGAAAATATACTTATCTCTAACAAAATATCTAAAGTATCAGGTTTAAACAGATAACTTACCTCAGATAACAGGTCTGGAGTGTCTAGTTAGAACAGATAACTTACCTCAGATAACAGGTCTGGAGTAAGGGTCAGGTTAGACAAAGCATCCAGTACAGGAACAGTCAATTGGTTATTCTGCAGCAGAAGTTCCCTATATAAGATGAAAACAATATCAAAGAAATCAAGATTTCAGTTTACTGTGCATTAATCCATTTTTTTGTGAAAATGCCTCAGTTCAGAGAAGACTAAATAATATCATTTATAGTGAATTGGAGTATATAAAGCACTCTTAGAAATCCGTTGACTCAGGATAGTCATATCAAATTGGGAGAGATTGACGTAATTAATATAGAAGAAGAATGAGTTTCAAGAATTTTCCCTATTTCTCCTAATGGACCCTGCTTCTCTCATTCCACTGGCTTGAAACTCACCATTTATATACAAGACTGACCCCTTTCATCTAAGAATGTTTTGGACCAAATATTGACAAAATCCAAAAATCCAATGAGTCCTACAGAAGCATTGCAGAAGCAGAAGGATTTTAAGAATTTGATAAATTCATTTGCGGCCTTGCCCCTCAGGACCAAAGAGGGACAGAACCACTATTTATACAGAATTGATTTCCCTTCCCCTAAGGATGCTTCTGACCAAATTTAGTAAAAATCTACTCAGTTGTTAATGACAAGTAGCGATTTGTAGGAAAAGTTGATTGACAGACGGAGTGGTGGATGGACAAAAGATGCGGTTGTGTTCCACTATTGGGTCTGATAAACTTATAACTCAATAGCATTTCAGACAAGCATAATACAGTTCTAATAAAAGTACCCTTGGCCTTCTGGTTATGAAGAAGAAGTTTGAAAACAAGTGTTGACAACTGGGGTATAGAGTGATGCATAAGCTCACACTGAACTGATTTTTTAACAATTGAGCATGTTTGGGTTGTTCTTAGGTAATGTCAAAGAACAACTTGCAGGAGCTGGCCCAAACTTTGAACTCTTACTGAAACATCTCTCCTTGAATTATCTGCTGGTTCCATACCAAATAATTACCATGTATGCTCTGGGTGTTAGGCTTGGGCAGATTTACCTTAGGGCTTTAGCTATTTCTCCATGCTCAGAATCTTCCACAACTTCAGGAAGGCAGGTGATTATTTCCCTTTGTATATCAAGGGACACGATGCCAATCATTTCCAACATCTTATCTGTCACCTCCTGTATAAAATATGGCAAAACAATAGGATTTTACTCAGATATTTGGTGTGTACAACATAATGAAAGAACTTCATTACTCAAATTCAGTCTTTCATTCTAAATTATTGCAAATTACAAAACAAAAAGGAAAAGGAAAGAAAGGGGAAAAAAGGAAAAAAAATCATGTTGTGAATAATATGGATATTACTTGTTCCTTTGAAATTTGTTGAAGAAAACAAATGTAAAAACATAATAACATGATATTAAGAAAAAAATTTATCAACCTTGCCATGGACGATGTTATCCAGCCACCTAAATTGACACATCAGCAGGCGAGGTATGTTCACTTTCTCTCCATGATCAAATATAGAACTAAAATAAGAAAAAAAAATCAATTTTTTATCCATGTATACAAGAGGCCTATGAGCTTGAACAGCCATTTGACCTCTCTTTTGATTATAAATCATGGTTTTAAGTAATAACTTCCATAAGGGTTTTTGCAACAAGAGTTCCTTTGGCCTCAACACTCCTCTCACTAAAAAACTTACATACAATAGTCGTTGCTGTAGCAACAATTATGACATTATGAAAAGAGTTCAGAACTAAGTAGCTATTCCTTATAGCATGCTACTAGTTAAATATCAGCAACCTGAGCCTTTCAGTTATCAAAAGCTAACTGAAGATTTTTAAACATCATTTATTTCAACAACCTTTGTAATTCTTCATTAGAGCATGAAGCAGAACCAACATTAGTACCAGAGGACTTTTGGATATTCAGAAGTCATTCAAGTTTTAACACATTTACTCCTGCAAGTGGACACGGTCAATCATTTGGACATCAAACTTCCCCTTCATCCCAGTACATTACAGGTCATTTATCATTACCTTGGACTTTTCAGTTAACGAAAAGAATTCAATTGAAGAGAAAAAAGTTATAGGCAGATGGATGGATACTGAGCCACAACATAAGCTTACTTTTCCTCCCAGCAAGTGAGCTAATGTTTTATGTTTTGTTTTTGTTTTTAAACAAGGCCCTATTTCCATATGCTCACCCTTATCCTAGTATCTACAGGATAATACACAGTACTTCAACACTCTATAACTAAAAGTCATCCGAGTACTTACTGATCTTCGTCTTCCATGAACTCTGCAAGCTTCTCCAGTAAAGCATTCATCAACTTTGGCTACAAGACAATGAGAGATCGTCAAGGTATCCACCATTTTATAAACTTTATTGGTTCTATGTATGATGGAAATTTTTTCTCTTTTTTTCTGCATAATTGTTTGTTGTATTGACAGAGATATTAATCTTTTAAAGGGAAATCAACAAACAAAATGTAAGAATGATCATCCCAGTACTTTTTGGAAAATAATAAAAAATTTGATTTGTCAAATTCAAAGATGCCGACCCATTAATTGTTGAATTTTAACACATTAGTAAAAGATGTGATTGCCTTCACCAACCTATACTGCAGAAATATAATATAAATCATGATCACTCTCTGCCACTGTTGTTCTGAAAAATAGGACTTGCTGACTTTGACCTTATTACCTTGCCTTTCTGTCAGTTAACTGGTTTATAAGTGTAGTACATCAATGTATAGTGATTGTGTACTGTACCTGTGTACTGTACCTGTGTAATGTACCTGTGTAATGACTGTGTACTGTACCTGTGTAATGACTGTGTACCTGTGTAATGACTGTGTACTGTACCTGTGTAATGACTGTGTACTGTACCTGTGTAATGACTGTATACTGTACCTGTGTAATGACTGTGTACTGTACCTGTGTAATGACTGTGTACTGTACCTGTGTATTGTACCTGTGTAATGACTGTGTACTGTACCTGCGTATTGTACCTGTGTAATGACTGTGTACTGTACCTGTGTAATGACTGTGTACTGTACCTGTGTAATGACTGTATACTGTACCTGTGTAATGACAGTGTACTGTACTTGTGTACTGTACCTGTGTAATGACTGTGTACTGTACCTGTGTAATGACTGTGTACTGTCCCTGTGTAATGACTGTGTACTGTACTTGTGTAATGACTGTGTACTGTATCTGTGTAATGACTTTGAAGTGTACCTATAATATGCCCATGTGTTATGACTTATTGTCCTGTAGTATGACAGCTGTTTACTATACCTGCAGTATGTCCACACCCAACATAAGACGTATAACACAGTCCTGTCCTCCGTTCCGTGCCCTGATATAATCAAAATCAAGTGATAAATTTCAACTCTTTCCATTTTTGTTTCACTTACAATTCAAATTGTTCAAACATATGTGAGATTGTATATATGCCTAAATATTGATACTTGATAGTGATGTGGCATCGCAATAATCACTCCACATGGTCTCTCTTAATGACTTTATAATACATATTGTATGTGTACTGTTGCAATATTAATAGTTGCCTAAAGGTTAATCAACAGGTTCAACATGAATAAAGCTTTACAAGTACACAAAAAATGTATACTTGACACATAGTTTCAGCTCGTCATTCAGAACAGACCTGTAATTTCAGACATCAGATCCTAACGTCCTTATCTGTCTGTTGGTCAGCCATTATGGATATACCTAAAGTAAATCCTAAATCCAAGCAATTTTTTCCAAATTATTTTTTATCACCAATATTTAAATTCTGCTATTCCTCTTTTTAAAATTATATTTCTTTTACTTTATTAAATTTAATTTTACAAGATATTTGTGTTATTTTATCCTAAATAAGAGATTCCAAGATGGCCACCTGTCAGTCATGTTGTTTTTCAGATAAGTTCATAAATGGGATAATGCACAACTAGACTCCAACAAACTATTTCATTGTTATGATAAATATGGTGCTGCTTGGTGTAAATTTCTATAACAAGAATATCAATTAAATTGACAAGTGCTTCCCAAAAACAACTACATTGAACACAAAATTTTAACAAAGGGCATTGATTTTTAGGACACAACTCTCTAGCCCCTGGGAGCCTAGATCAAAATTGATTCCCCTTCACCTTAGGAAGCTTCAGACCAAATTCAATCAAAAACTGAAAATATTAAGAATCCAGACATTCCTACAGTTGAAGAATGATTTATGAGAACTGGTTCTTAATGTTTCTCCTATTGCACCCCATTCTTTTGCCCTGGCAGGCCAAGACCAACTGTTTAATACAAAATTGATTTCCCTTAACTCAAGGATAGTTCAGACCAAAATCATGACTGAATGTCCAGGTATTCTTAGAGAAGAAGATCTTGCTCTTTTTTTCATTTGGAGCACTTTCTCCAAGGATGCTTCTGACCAAATTTGGTCAAATCCAGTCAGTCATCCATGACTAACAGCGATTTGTAGAAATAATTGATGAATAAACTAGTGGATTGACTGAGAGACTGATGGACAATGTACACTGTGCCATAGCATAAGCTTACCTGCCATTTGTGTAGGTAAGATTATCAGAATCTTTCAGCCATTTGTAAGTGAGATAGGGGAATACAATCCAAGGGGAAAGATGATTAAAATAGAAAACATGATACCATTATTTAATAACAAAAGTTTAAGGAGACCAGTGTTGATTGTTCATACTCTGACTTACAGATCACAGTCTGATGTTGAACTGGTTGGGAGAAGGCTGTAGTGAAATCTGAAAAAAAAAGAAAAAACAAACAACATCAAACACAAAGTTCCAAAGGCTAAGAAAAACATAAGGGTTTGAAAATTGGAATTGAGAACATGAATAAATGATTAAGTTTATGAAGTAACCATATCTAGATATGGTTGTAGTAGTTTAAGGGTTTTAATTAACTCACCTTGTCTGGTCTTCAATGAACTCAAGGAAACCTTCAACAAACTCATCCACAACCTGTTCAGACAAAAATTATTTTCTAATTATTTTGTTATCCAAACAGTAAGGGTGTAAAACACATCTGAACGTCTATTTGGAAGGTTGTATTGAAATGGGGAAATGATATTCAAGAAGTGGCCCAAAGGGCCTGAATCACTCACCTAGACATTTCAACTTTCACAGTTAATATTTCTATTCATGATTATAATTAGTTTTTCTCGAAACATCTTCATGGAAGCAGGAAAAGAATGGTTTTAAAACCTTATCTCTTTTTCCCATATTAAGCCAAATCCTCTGTCCCAAAGGGAGACAAATCTTAGCTTTATACAAAATTGAGTATTCTACAAGGATACCCAAGGATATATAAACAAAGATGTTGAGGATTCATGAGATATCTCAAAACCAGTACACACGCTCCTCTTTACAGAGAATTACAAAGAGATATCTCAAAACCAGTACACACACACCTCTTTACAAAGAGTTACATTGGGAGAAGTGTGAAAAGAAGATGTGAAGATGGATTGCAGATGAAGGGAGAACAGGTCATCACCCAATGGAAAACCTTTCTAACATTGTAAAATATCTATCCTTTACAGGGCTCTAATTTTATGATTTTCACAATTGTAGATAACATATTTACAGTACCTGTATCAACAGAATTTGTGCTCTTTTCTGTACCAATTCACTGAGCAGTTAAAGTGAGGTAATGACAATAAGATTGTACAAATTTAATCAGAAACTGCATATGCAACTATGAATATAAGATTTTCACTAAGCTATAGAGAAAGGAATTTGTTAAATAATATGAAAACATATAGCCTGCTTTTTAATACTTCATACTTAGCCCAAAGAAAGCAACAACCTTTACAGTACATTACCTCAGGACATTTCAGAGCCATCTGCAGGTTTCGTTGGAATATAGCTTGGTCCACATCTGCAATAAACATATTCCCTTTAATTAGTTTTTAATTTGTTTAGCTGAAATAGCTTTATCCCAATCAAAGGAAAAGGAAATATGGAGGTTTACGTCTGTTTCCCCAACAAGCCCAACCGGTCACCCATCTGACCCCAGGGACTCAGCCAAACCATATTAACATGACTATTAGTCATTTGAAAAGTTTATAGAGCTAAACTTAGGGTTATGAAATTGGCAGTTTTGTCAAAGCATCTTTGGACATTTTCATCCATGCAGGGATTTTGATTCTACAGTAAATTGGGCCCGAGTTTTCTCTAAACATGGGCAAATTTCCTTCTTTGAGTCCAGCCCTTCAGAGCCCTGCAGAGTTGTTTATCATGGTCTATGGAACCCTTGCTACAATTTTTAAAGAATTAGTTTCACAGTTATCAATAGGACATCAATGAAAAACATTTAATGGACAATGCACGAGAGACAAAGACTACTCAGTAAAGGACAATGAGCTTTGCTCTGGACAACTCAGTAAAGGACAATGAGCTTTGCTCTGGACAACTCAGTAAAGGACAATGAGCTTTGCTCTGGACAACTCAGTAAAGGACAATGAGCTTTGCTCTGGACAACTCAGTAAAGGACAATGAGCTTTGCTTTGGACAACTCAGTAAAGGACAATGAGCTTTGCTCTGGACAACTCAGTAAAGGACTATGAGCTTTGCTCTGGACAACTCAGTAAAGGACAATGAGCTTTGTCTGCACAACTCAGTAAAGGACAATGAGCTTTGCTCTGGACAACTCAGTAAAGGACAATGAGCTTTGTCTGCACAACTCAGTAAAGGACAATGAGCTTTGCTCTGGACAACTCAGTAAAGGACAATGAGCTTTGCTCTGGACAACTCAGTAAAGGACAATGAGCTTTGCTGTGGGCAACTCAGTAAAAGACAATGAGCTTTGCTCTGGACAACTCAGTAAAGGACAATGAGCTTTACCCTGGACAACTCAGTAAAGGACAATAAGCTTTGTCTGCACAACTCAGTAAAGGACAATGAGCTTTGCCCTGGACAACTCAGTAAAGGACAATGAGCTTTGTCTGCACAACTCAGTAAAGGACAATGAGCTTTGTCTGGACAACTCAGTAAAGGACAATGAGCTTTACCCTAGACAACTCAGTAAAGGACAATGAGCTTTGCCCTGGACAACTCAGTAAAGGACAATGAGCTTTGCTCTGGACAATTCAGTAAAGGACAATGACCTTTGTCTGGACAACTCAGTAAAGGACACTGAGCTTTGCTCTGGACAACTCAGTAAAGGACACTGAGCTTTGCCATGGACAACTCAGTAAAGGACAATGAGCTTTACCCTGGACAACTCAGCAATTGACAATGAGCTTTGCCCTGGACAATTCAGTAAAGGACAATGAGCTTTGCCCTGGACAACTCAGCAATGAACAATGAGCTTTGCTCTGGATACCTAAACAGCATGTTGTTATTCAGCTTCTCTTCGTTAAAATTTTTAACTTACTTAATGTGTTGAACTTTTTGCTGTTCTTTAATGTAAGTCCACATTTTCCAAGCAGCTGACAAAACACAGAGCCATTGGAAAAGTTTTCGTCTTCATTAGAAGTCTTCCTCTTCTTAGCTAATGCTCCTGGGAATGAAATACAAATGATATAAAATCACTTCACGTTCAGTTGTTGTTTCGTCTAGATTAAATGAAACTGTATTTGTAAGCAAGTCTTTTCTTCGTATATTGTAATTTTGACAAACTCAACAAAATGTAAGCCCTACTTGTTTTATGAAGGTTTAATAATTTGGTACTTAGATAAATGTAACAGCCAATCAGAAAACCAAGAGGCCATCTTATATATCTCTGTAAAGTTTTATTTAAGTATCCAGCCAGTGTGTGTTTCGAGGAGCCTTTCATACAAGTCAAAATCAAAATATAAAACAAAAATTCAAACAAGATTTACCCTTCTGTTGGTCAGTGCTGTGGTCAGATCCCTTTCTCTTGCTGGACGTTCTTGATCGGTCACCAGCCATTATCACTGGTCAAGTATTACATCCAATCTAGAAAAAGAAGTACTATAGCATAAATGCTTCTTCCCTTTTCTTTTTTACATGCCAATCCAGTAGTGATAACATTTCAGACTACCTAGACTAGATCTATCAAAATCCTAGGCTTCATCTTTCATTCAAGAATTCTTAAATAAAATTTCAAAAGAAGCAGGTGTGTTAGCAGAATAGAGAAATCAAATGAAATAGATATTGGTTGATGTACTTTGAAATTTGAAATAAATCTCTCAAGTGGCCAAGAGTGCTAGCATTATTCACATTGAAAGTGAACATGCATGGGACACTATAACGGAAATGGTTGGTATATAATCAACAAGATGCATGTGGGGGCACATCACTCATCTAGATATTTCAATTTTCACTTAAAAACATTTTTTTTCATAATTAAATGTAACATTTTCTCTAAAAGAGAAGGATTTTTTAAGGCTGAAAATAATAATGAGGCCTGCCCTTCTGCGAACCCTTGAATTGCTTTTAATTAAGTCACCTATTGGGTCCAGTCCCTATGTTGAGAAACACCATTTATACAAAGTAAATCAACATTCACCCATGGATGCTTCAGACTAAAGTTAGCCAAAATCCAATCATTCTTTAAGACGGAGTAGTATTACTGTATTTTCCCTATTGGGTCCTATTTTCCCACCTGGGACTTAAAATAGAGGGCTATAAGCAAAAATCTATATAACTCTGTAAAGTTACAGCGGGAAATTCAAGTTAACTTGCCCTGCTGTGTCTACATACCAATTTTCTACAAAAGCACAAAACTAGTGTTTTTAGAATAAAGAATATTTTAATTCCCTGCATATAACCCTACACCAGGGTATAGCCTGCAGGATGTAGAACAAGGAATTTTAGGCATTTTGTAAAATTAATTTTTAGGTAACATCAGATTGCCTGTGAGTAATACATATCAATTCTATTAATATATGATGGTATCTAGTGAGCGTATGTACATGAATCAATCAGACATTGTATTGTCAATTTTGAGCATCAAATGCGTTCACATGGATACCCCTAGTACACAGAGACATGCCAGGAAACATTATGATAGCAAAGTTATACTGGCAAATTCAAACTGAAATTTGTAATTTTTTCTGAAATAATTCAGTAATAGTGAAGCATGATAAAGGTTTGATTTAGATGAAAATCAGTAGGATAATGGTGAAGGAACAAAATAAAACACTAACTCGGTGATCTTCCATGTTGAAAAAAGGCCAAACAAACTAGTAAAAACTTAAACATCATGACCCATTGTTCAGACTGGTGCCATTTATTTATTTATCTATTTAACAGGTTTTATGTCCACTATAACAGTCTTTCGGCCTTTCAGCGGACATGAAAAGATATGAAAATGAGTAGAAGGGAAAACTAGGAAGCAATGGGGAAAAATGGGATACAGAGATGAGGTTGAGAGGGGCTGTCTACACTACCTGACCTGTTCTTATACTATAATTTAGAAGATGACCTCTTGGCCTAATTGTAGATATAATCTAACACTAAGCATGTCACAGCATGAGGACCGGTTAAGGACAGAGAGCGAGTGGAAGGGGATCCTACAGCAAGTAAATTTCAATTGTTGACAGTATTTTGAAGTCAGTCAGAATTGCTTAATGAATAATTCCTATTGTTAGTCTTACCCTAATCAGGGGCCAGTTCACGCCTGCTCTTTTTTAAAAAAAAAAAGCCACAATGGGATCTTTATCGTGCGAGTTGGACATTTTCACAAAGGCCACCATTTTAAGTCCCATCCGATAGACTGAGGGTTAGTGGTTAGTTGTTAGTCAGGTGCTAGATGTGATCTGCATTTTTGGTGTCAATACAGGTATAAATCGTCTTTCCACTTGTATCTGCCACTAAATATACCGTTTGCTTTATCAATGTCTATACTTTCTGTAAATCCACACTGCTTTCTTCATGTAGCTGTTCACTTGCCAACGTTTTCCGACTTAGTGCCATGTTCACACTAAATACATACACAAAAAAAGAAGTAAATAAGACATAGGTTATGAAGATTACATAACAACAGTGAGAAGAGTGAGCTTTGGAAACTTCACAGCTCAATGAGCAAACACAAAGGCTTTCGATAAATAAGTCTCCACTGCGATCTCTGGATTATACAATGTATGTCACGGCTCCAACAGTAAGACAGACATGACAGATCAGTTAGTAGACAGGCAGCAAAAAGTGGCTGTATCTGAAATAATATAACAACCGTGAACACCAGTTAAGCCCCCTACCACAGGAATTTAGCTCGCTTATAAAAAATATTATGTAAGCCTTAAGGTTATGTAGCTAAGCGCCAGTCCCCTCACAGGCCCGTGTTCCAGACTTGCGAATCTGGGTCTTTCGCTATAGTTGTGAATTACACTCATAAAGCATAAATTAGGTTTTGTTAGGCAATAGCATACCTGTACGGGTTCTGGCCGTGTAAAGACCTATTCCGTTGTCGTTAACTGTTGTAGCAAACAAAAACGAAACTACCCACGATGACAAAATCTGTAATAACACCTCGTAGTTACCAAACAAATCTTATCGGTTACATAGGCCTGATATAGTGTTAATTAGAAATTTGGGTGATGCTGATGACACCGCCCTGCTTTCGGAAGACATAAGCGATCTCTAATACATGCCAGTTTGTTTGTGTGGGGTTTTTTGTTCTGTACCATGAACTTAAGATGTTAAATTGGACAAAGTTTAGGAAAATTAGACGTATCTATCCAACGAACTGTGGATTTAAATGATGTGTTCATTGAATTGCATTGGTAGATCGATTTTGTTGTCTTAAAATGGTAAAGTTGTCGTTGCTTTAACTACCATGACTGCTGAAGGTAGAAAAAATTGTTCCCTGTTAAACAGGAAAATGGAAATATTCATGTAAAACTACAAAAATAAATTGTCACTTTTGATACGTACATGTATATTGCATGTTTACCAGTGTAACTGTACATGTGATTTAGTCATTCATTCCTGCGCGTCTGTTAGAAAGGGTACATTTATTGTTACTTAAAATGTGTTTAATATTAAGAAGACAGGAATAACTCTTACGAATGGTGTACTCTGAGCTGGGTTGTTTTCCTTTACAAACGGGTCGTAAGATTGCTGTTGTATAATATTGGCTTAAATTGATAATTGCTTTTTAAGATCGTGTTGTAATGAACTTGTGGAGCTGAGTGTAAACAAAACTAATTGTTAGATGAATTTTATGTATCATGTTAAACAGGAGGTAATAAGTTTAGGGTTGTAAAATGCTTGGTATATTTCTAATGAAAAATATTTTGTCTTTATATACTCAACGGGTACATGATGTTTTTATCAAAGAGATGAGAAACAGTTTTACTGAAAAAAAAAGTGTATGTTATATAAACATATTGTTGATAGATTTGAACTGAAGATTTACCTTACTAAGTCTTTGGTTACCAATGTTTAAAAAAACATATATCAACACAGTCTTACTGACTTACGGACACAAGCACGTAATTTGAGTGTTGAAACTGGTAGGTACCAATGTATACGTAAAACCCAAATGTTATCTTTGTTATGTTATAGAAGAGACGTGGAAAATGACACACTTTAAAGTTATGATCTTCGCTTTCTCAGAATCCAAACTATTACATTTTAAGTCGATATCTTCACCAGCGCTCTTCTGTATACAAGCATGGACTTGGAGTAGATTCGAATCAGTGATACAAATAAACTGAATTATTTGTAAGTAAAAATATAAAACCGTTGAGAAGATTTGGTAAATTCTTAATTTATGCTTCCTCAAAAATAATGTCACTATTAAATGTTTGAAATTACATTGTTGTTTTTTTTTTTTTATTATTATATCTTTAATGTACCCGTGTTTTCAATTAAATTTGTTAGTATGATAATCATTATATATGTATCAGTATGTGTTATAATTTCTTCGGTTGTGTTCTCCGCCATCTTGTAAATATGACTTTTATTACTTATTCACTTCTCTTGCATATTAAACAAACTATGCTGCATTTGGAAGTAGATTGACCTTGAACATGAACCTGAACCTCCGAACATGAACCGAACTACATGTGCCTGCCAGTACAAAGTCCTGAGATCTCAGATCATTTAACTCAGCCAATTTTATAAATATTAATATGAAACTAGAACATATGTGTATTATGACCACATTAATAGCATATCCTTCTTTTATTTTGAATATATTTAAAGATACAGTTTGAAGGCACTTCACTGTGACCCGTGCTGTCTGAATACGCCACAGTTAGATACGGCATAGGAATGTTTGCACGTGGTAGGAAATTATTATACTTACAAAATAACTCTATTTTTACCGGTTTATATATTTCATACCTTCTGATTAATTTTCATTGAAAAGTAAAGTGTACTTTGCTAGAAAATCGATTTTACATGAGTGAAACTATCTGGAATCACATTACACCAAAATATGCCATCGGTGTTTCTAAACGCTAAAGCAACATATAAGACTTTTAAGCTAACGGCTGGTTTACTACGGTTGTATATGCCTTATACATGTAATGAAAAAAATCTTTTTTAAAAGTGTGCGTTTCGTTTTATTTGGAAATCGATAAAAAAAAGGTATGAAGACAAACAAGTATACAGAAACCTCTGAAACAGAAACGGAAATTTTAAAAAAAATGCCAAAAGGATATAAAATATGAATGATTTTGTTCAAATTATGTTTAAGCATATGGCAACATTTTTACTATAATCTTTTTATCAAGTCAAGCACGGATTTGAAATATATCTATATTTTAATCAGTGAGTGAAGTCATTGTATCAATCATTAAGAAAGAAGAAAGAAGAAAAAACAGTCCAGAAAATGAAGAAAAAATGGAGAAAAAAAAAGAGAGAGAGAAAAAAAAAAAAAAAACTTGTATTTCAGGCATCTTACAGATAATAACTTCGTCTAAAAATAGAATGTTTACTCAGTTGTACTTTGTAACTAGGCAAATGATAAGCACAGACAA